GTGGGTGCTCCTGCCCCTGACTGGCTGCCTCTTGTTCAGCGCTACGGCTCCGCTCTGTGGGGCATGTCTGCTGAGCAGTTAGTGGATCTGATTAGTACTCCCCATGCTATGTATGCTGTTGTTGACTCTAGTGTTTCTGACTCTGCTTACTCTGGTGTTGTTAGCTTAGGTGCTAGCCTTGCTCAGTTGCCTGTTGCTAGTGTAGGTTCTTGTGTAGACTCTAGTCCAGCGGCTACCTCAGAGGACGGTTCGCTGTCGTTCACGCTGGACTCTGGAGCCTCTCACTGCTTCTTTCGTGACAGCACGACACTTACGCCTCTTCCTGCGCCTGTTTCTGTGGCGCTGGCTGATCCCACTTCGGGACCAGTCACCGCGCGTCACACTACCACCTTGCCGTGTCCGGCTGCTCCTTCTGGGTCTCTCACTGGGTTTCATGTCCCCTCGTTCTCCCGGAACTTGGTGGGCGTGCGACCCCTCGTGAGTCAGCACGTGGGTGTGTGGTTTGAGCCTTCTACACTCTTCACACTGGCCCGCGCGCTCAGCAGCGACTGCAGCAGCAGCAGCAGCCGCAGCAGCAGCAGCAGCAGCAGCCGCAGCAGCAGCAGCGGCAGCAGCCGCAGCCGCAGCCACAGCGGCCGCCGTCGCAGCTGCCACTCCTCCCAGTTCCTGTCCCTCCCCCTAGTCTCCTCCCTGCGTCTCACCAGGTGGTTCCGTCCCCTCAGGTTGTCGCGTCCAGTCCAGTCGCTGCGTCTTGCTCCTGTCGGTCGCTTGCCCACCCCACCGTTCTGTGGCACCACCGGATGGGACACCCTTCTCTTCCACGTCTGCGTGCTATGTCTAGTCAGCGTCTGGTCTTAGGTCTCCCGCGTGTCTTGCCGTCGCTGCCGCCGTCTCTTGCACCACCGTGCGGTCCTTGCGTCGAGGGTAGGCTGCGCGCCACCCCTCACTCCTCCTCCCTTCGTCCGGCCACCGAGCCTTTTGAGACGCTGCACTTGGACGTCTGGGGCCCCTCTCCTCGCCCTGGCCCTGAGCGTGAGCGTTTCTTTTTGGTGGTCGTTGACGACTACTCCCGCTACACCACAGTGTTCCCCCTGGCGAGGAAGTCTGAGGTGACTTCTACGCTGATCAGGTGGTTGCTTACCACCCAGGACACTCGTGGTCGTCGTGTCAGCTGTCTCCACTCCGACCGCGGGGGCGAGTTTCGCTCCGGCATTCTCGCTGGATTCTGTCGCGAACAGGGCATTCGTCAGTCCTGGACGCTTCCGGAGTCCCCACAGCAGAATGGGGTTGCTGAGCGTCGCATAGGCCTGGTCATGGAGATTGCCCGCACCTCCTTGACTCACGCCCGTGCCCCCCATTTCCTGTGGCCATACGCAGTCAGGTACGCCGCGCACCAGCTGAACCTCTGGCCATGCGTCTCTCGGCCGGAGGCTTCACCGACCAGTCTTTGGACAGGGTCCCCTGGTGTCGCGTCGAGGTTTCGTGTCTGGGGGTGCTTGGCTCTTGTCCGCGACACCTCCGCGGACAAGCTCTCGCCTCGCGCCGTTCCTTGTGTCTTCCTTGGTTTCCCTGAGGACTCCTCTGACTTCACCTTTTACCACCCTCCCTCTCACCGGTTCTTTGACTCCCGTGACGTCCGTTTCGAGGAGTCCACCCCGTACTACGTCAGGTACCCCAGTCGAGGTCTCCCGGTTCCTCCTCCCCCCCTCTTCCTGACAGCCGCTCCCCCGCCTGCTCCCCCGGTACAGCCTCCCCCCCCTGGTCCAGCCCCGTCTGGTGTGTCTCAGGCTAGCCCTCCCCCTTCGGTAGCCCCCCCTGTACAGCCTCCCTCCCCACAGTCTTCCTCACCGCCTCCTGTAGGTGCTCCCTCTCGGGAGGTTGGTCCTGCGACTGTCCCTGTACAGGTCTCTGGTTCTGGGGGTGCTGGAGTTGGAGCTGAGCCGCGGGTTGCAGAGGACTCTTCTCTTCCGGGGGCTGGTACTGGTCGTGCGGAGTCTGGGGGTGCTGGTGCGGAGTCTGGGGGTGCTGCGTCTGGGGGTGAGGGTGTTCCTTCGGTTTCTGGAGAGCCTGGGTCTGGAGCTGGTGTTGGTGCTGCCTCTGGGGGTGGTGTGCTTGGTGCTTCGGAGGTCGACTCTGGGGCTGCCGCTGCCCCGGACACTACTCCTTCCCCCCACCCCTACCCGACCAGGTTCCAGGCTCGTGTTCGCCGTGCTCGTGAGGAGCAGCTGGAGTTGGAGCGAGAGGAGAGAGAGTTGCAGCGACAGCAGCAGGAGCAGCAGCAGGGGCAGCAGCCGCTGGAGCAGCAGCAGCCGCAGCAGCCGCAGCAGCAGCAGCTGCCGTCTCCTCCTCCTGTCTCGGGTCTTCGGACCCTTGGTCTCCCCTCTCCCTCTCCTTCCTCCTCCCCCTCTCCTCCCGTCTCTGGTCCTCCGCTTCCTCCTCCTGACCCCTCTCCCGCTGTTTTCCCTCGTTCTCAGTCTTCGTTGTCCCCTCCTCCTTCTCAGACTTGGGCCTCTCGTCGCTCCCCTCGTGCTCGTCCCTCGTCTCCTGTTCCCTTCACTGACCTTCGTACAGCCTTCCTTTGTTCTCGTCCACCTCGTCCGTCTCCGTCTGTGCTTCCGTCTCCTCCTGAGTCGGCTCTCACTGCGTCGCTCCCTACTCCTGTCACTGACTACTACCGCACGTACCGTCCTATTCTCTCTCGTGTTCTCGCCTCACTTGTTACTCACCCTCGTGCCTCTGTGTCCTCTGTGTCCGCTCTTACTGCCGCAGTCACTGAGTTTGCCTCTACCCGCCGCCTTGACTTCGCCACCGCTCTTGTGGCTGCTCCTCCTTCCAGTCCTCTGGCCGTCGGGGGTGTGTCTGCCCTTGGCTGTGACGTCCTAGAGGACAGGCAGTTTGAGCTAGAGTTCCTGGCGGCCGCTTCCCCTCATCTCTGTGCCATGCTCCTCGCCCCTGAGGGTGACCCCGACGCCCTTGACATTCCGACTCCTCGCACTTACGCTGAGGCAGTGTCAGGGCCTTGGGCCTCTCAGTGGAGAGCTGCCATGGACGCAGAGATGGCCTCCTACAGATCCACAGGCACCTACGTCGATGAGGTTCCCCCTCCGGGGGCGAACGTAGTCGACGGCATGTGGATCTACAGGGTGAAGCGGCCACCGGGATCTCCTCCGGTCTTCAAGGCGCGCTACGTGGCTAGAGGTTTCAGTCAGCGCGAGGGAGTTGACTTCTTTCAGACCTTCGCGCCCACCCCGAAGATGACCACTCTTCGGGTGTTACTACACGTAGCAGCACAGAGAGACTACGAGTTACACTCTCTCGACTTCTCTACTGCTTTCCTTCAGGGCAGTCTTCACGAGGAGGTCTGGTTGCGTCGTCCCTCTGCCTTCACTGGCTCTTTCCCTCCTGGGACCCAGTGGAGGCTGAGGCGACCGGTTTACGGACTTCGTCAGGCTCCTCGTGAGTGGCACGACACCCTGCGTTCTACCCTGTCTGACCTTGGGTTCCAGCCGTCTTCTGCTGACCCGTCGCTGTTCGTTCGTCGTGGCCCCACACCTTTCTTTGTTCTGGTCTACGTTGACGACCTTGTTTTCGCCACCCCTGACAGGGTTGCTTTGGCACACGTGAAGTCCGAACTGCAGAAGAGACACACCTGCACTGATCTTGGTGAGCTGCGCCACTACCTTGGCTTGCAGATCACCAGGGACAGAGCTGCTCGCACCATTACACTTTCACAGTCGCACATGGTGCAGCAGGTCCTTCAGCGGTTCGGGCTTCAGCACTCCACAGTACAGCGCACACCTCTTGCTGTTGACCACAGACTCACTGGACCCTTTCCTGACGAGCCGTTCGAGCCTAGTGGTCCCTACGCTGAGCTTGTGGGTTGCCTCATGTACCTGATGACTTGTACTCGCCCGGACCTTGCCTTCCCTCTCAGCGTTCTTGCCCGCTTTGTTGCGCCAGGGAGACACCGTCCTGTTCACTGGACAGCAGCTGTGAGGGTGGCGAAGTACCTAGCGACGACATCAGGCGTGGGGCTAGTTCTTGGAGGACAGCAGTCTGTCGTACTTACTGGTCACTGTGACTCCTCTTACGCTGACGACGCTGAGACTCACAGGTCTACTCAGGGGTACTGTTTCAGCCTAGCTCTTGGTGAGCGGCCGAGCTCTGCACCGACCTTGTTCACTGACAACAAGGCGTCTATTCTCCTTTGTCGAGAGCCACGACTGGAGAGCAGAGTGAAGCACATTCACGTCAGGTACTTTCTTCTGCGAGAGTTGCAGAGGCGTGGACAGGCTCGCTTTGAGTTTGTGGAGTCCGAGGCCAACACTGCAGACATCTTCACCAAGACGCTTCCGCCTTGTGACCACCAGAGGTGCTGTGTGCAGTTAGGCCTTGTTGACACTGGTTCTCGTGTTGCTTAGACTTGAGTGTACTGTTTACTTTGCTTTCTATATATCTCTGTTACTTCTTGGACTGGCCTTGTGGCCACTGTTGTTTGTGCTCAGACTGTGTGGTGACGTTGTGATCCACCCTGAGCTTTGTTTCCTGGATTGGTCTTGTGACCGTACTCGTTTGGTTCTGCTAGACACCCCTCACTTAGGCTATGGGGGTGTGTCAAATGTTGTAGCCTATAGTGAGGTTTGTCTTAGGGGGTACAAAACTTAGGGTTAGCTATATGTACCCCAACCAACATCAATGAACCATCCATTCTTCATTCTGACAATCCGGTATGACTAGCCTGTCAAACAAGAGATGAAAACGTGGCAAGACCAGCGATTAAGATACACTTAAGGAGACGTAACGCAGAACATGCAGTTGTGTGCACGATCTGCCATGGCTTCCCGCTCCTGCCGCAGCAGTCGCTGCCCTCCACATCCCTTGCCACCCCCCCCTTATAACCCACAACCGCTCTCCACCACCCCCGAAACCAACTGAAATCCTCTCCCCCAATCTTGCTGTTGATAAATCACAGCACACCAATGCACACTGCATCAGACGAATCAAGCAGCACCCAGGGAGGGGAACTGGGTCTGATCAGCTATCTCCACTGCTTGCTGCTGCTGCTGCCCTCCGCGTCCCCCACGGCCCCCACCACGTCCCCTGCCTCCACCACGGCCGCCTGAGCGCCGGGGATTGAAGGTGCTGCCGTCTGTGGGCTTGAGGAAATCGTTGATGTTGACAGTCTGAGTGGGCGAGGATGGGGGAGAGGGTTCAAGGGGAGGAAGAGACAGAGGAAGAGAAACTGAGATTAGCACAGGGACGGGGAGAGATACTGATATTAGCGCTTGAAAGAGCGCCGGGGGTTGAAGGTGCTGCCGTCTGTGGGCTTGAGAAAGTCGTTGATGTTGACAGTCTGAAATGGGAGAGTAGGGAGAGAGAGGAGGGAGAGAGAGAGAGGAACCAAGATTAGCACTTGAAAGCGCTGGGGAGTGAAGGAGCTGCCATCTGAAGGCTTAAGGAGACGTTGACAGTCTGAATGGGAGGGATGGGAGGATGCGGGAATGAGAAAGGAGGTGCAGGAAACTGAGATTGGCACAGGAAAGAGCGCCGGGATACAGGTGCTGTCATCTGAAGGCTTGGGGAAATCATTGATGTTGACAGTCCAGGGCGGGGGGTGGGAAAAGAGAGGAGAGGAGCGCGAGAGCAGGACAATTGGTGGATAAAACGAGGGAATGTACTGTGGATGGCGGGGTGAGGAAGGTGGCAACGGGGGCAATACAAGGAAAAAACAAGGCACTGCCAGCTGTGGACTGGCGGAATCTGTTGATGTTCAGTCTGATGGCAATACAAGGGTTCACATGTTTCCAGAAGGACAAGGAAGACTCATGTTATACGCCGAACGAGCAGTGCTAGTGTTGAGGTGTATTGACATCATGCAACTCCCAATCGTGTGACGTGCTTGCACCATTCAAACAAAACATATCTGAACAAAGCTATATACCGTTCACCAAAACCCTGAACCCTCGCCCGTTCACATGAGGGGCTATCTCGTTGTCGTGCGCCTTACCTTGGGCTTGTCTTCATCTTCCGTCTTTTCGCGCTTCTTCACAGCCTTGTCGGCGCCCTAGGGGAGGTTGGGAGAACAACAGTGAAGCAACGAGGGAGGGAGGAAGGGAGGGCGGGAGAAGGGAGACAGAGGAGGGAAGGAATGAGCGAGAATGAGCGTCGATAAAACAGAGGGAGCAAGAGAGCGACGTCGGGAACGAGGCAAGGAGGAGGAAGAGAGCGCGGAAGCGAGCGAGACAGTGAGTTAGGGGGGGGACGGGGGGGTGGGGTGAGGGGGACGTGGGAGGGACGGCGTGAGGGAACGAGGAACGAGGGAGTAAGGCAGGGAGGTTTACGAGTTTCACAAAGATTGACCACGTCTTTCTCGTGCCGCGCCATGCGCGCCATCTCAAGGGCGAAGCGAGCGAGAAAAGGAGCGAGGGAGGGAAGGAGTGAGGGGGCACTTCACTTACGAGTTTGACGAAGACAGCGTCCTCGTCGGCGTCCTTCTTCTTGTGCACCGCCATGGCCGCCATCTCCGCGTCCACCTCCACCTTGCGCGAGGCGACTTTTGAGTCGACTCAAAAGTCTCTCTCCGCGTCCACCTCCACCTCACGCCCCTCCGATAACATGAATCACCTTCGATGAATCTTGAAAAAGGGGCAGAGCGACTCACGAGTTTGACGAAGACGGCGTCTTCATCGGCGTCCTTCTTCTTGTGCACCGCCATGGCCGCCATCTCCGCGTCCACCTCCACCTTGCGCGCCTCCGCCGTGCGGCTCGCCGCCAGCGCCTTGCGCTTCTCCTCGCGCAGCTTCTCGTACTCCTCCAGGGTCATCTCCTGATGGGGGAAGGGGGAAATGGGGTGGAAGAGGGGCGAAGGGGGAGGGAGGCGGAAATAGAGCGAGTGAGGCACAGCGCCTCGCGCTTTTCCTCGCGCTTTTCCTCGTGCAGCTTCTCGTACTCCTCAAGCGTCATCTCCTGATGGGGTGAGTGGAAATTAAGCGCGGGATTGAGCGCGGAATTGAGCGGACAACAGGGGCGGGGAGGAGATGGGGAGATGGAAATAGAGGAGTGAGCGAGGTACACCGCCTTGCGCTTCTCCTCGCGCACCTTCTCGTACTGCTCTTAGACCATCTCCGGAGAGAAACGGCACGGAAGAAAGGTGGAGGAGGGACGTACCGCACTAGATTAAACTAGATTCTACGGGTAGAGTAGGTTTGAGAACGTTTCTGAGCGGTAAGAGGGGCTGCGTACGGTTTTACAGAATGAAAGACACCGCGTGGATGGAGAGAACAGAAAACCTTGCCTTGACAAGGAAATAACAAAACGGCGTATGACTGAAGCCTCACCTTGTCCTCCTCCTCAGCGGGGGCGGCCTCAGCGGCAGCCTCTCCCGCAGCAGCGTCGCCCTCAGCAGCAGACGCCTCTCCCTCCGCCGTTCCGTTGGCCTGCTTGGCCTCGCCCTCCTCGCCCGCCTCCTCCTGCTCGCTGTAGGGCAAGCAGCACACACAGTACACCAGCGGATGAGAAGACCAGCACACGGAAGGAAGGAGCTACTAGCGACACTATAGAACTATCGGAAACAAGGTTTAGGTTTCACGGACGAAAAAAACAATCCTGAGCAGGGGATAAGGTTTAACGGACGTAAAATACAATCCTAAGCAGCAGTGGCCGCATCTGGCACGAACAGTAGCATCAGCGAAAAGTTGACCTCATGGAAGAGCATAATCCCTTCTCAACGTATATTTAAGCTCTTAAAGAGCGACATCACGCGCTACTGCATGATTTCACATGACTTCACGAGATTGAATGCTCTGAATGAGAAGCTTCCTGTGCCAATGAATGTTGTCGAAGCGGCACCCATGACGGTGCCAACAGAAACAAAGGTGGCAATGAAGGTAGATGACAATAGAAGGTATAACGAGTAGTAGCATCAGGTAAAAGGTGTGCTCAGTAAAGAGCAAGCGCTCTTTTCAACGTATAATTAAGCTCTTGAAGAGCAACATCATATGCTACTGTATAGGACGCTACGGAGCTCACAGGAAGGAATGTGAATAACAGCATCTGGGACAGGAAGTAACAGATACATCAAAAACACTATACGTAATCTTGGTGAAGAAAAAAAAACCCACAAAGACGACCAGACTCCAACGGACTTACCCCGTTTGCGGCACCTCGTCGGCTCGCCCCCAGTTGCCGCGTCCGGCACCCTCGCGCTTCATCTCGTGACTGCAAATCAAATGCAATGCAAGAAGACATCAGGAAAAGCACCAAAGAAACGTAACATGATTAGTTCGTCGACAACTAGGAGTTTCACACGACCCTGATAATCAAACCTAGCCGCTTCTTCATTTCCAAGCATCGTCGTACAGCCAAGAACTCACCCACGGCCAGTGCCGCTGTGCCTGTCGAATTCCCGACGAGGCCCCCTCCGCTCCCCGTCGCCTCCTCGGGAACGACCGCGACCGCCATAGCCGCCACCGCCGCCGCCGCCGCCGCCACCACCGCTGCGGATTCCGCCACCGCCGCCGGACACCTCGCCGTCCTCTCCGCGCAACTGCCGGTTCCTGTACGGCTGTCCGCCATCCTGGCCCCCCTCCGCGGGGTAAGATCCCCCCCGTCCGCCTCCACCACGACCTCCGCCTCTTCCTGCGCCGGCTCCGCGGCCGGCGGCTGGCGCAGCAGGTGTGGGCTTCGCGGCGGCTGCTGGCTTGGCAGCAGGCTTGGAATCTGGAAAAAAAAAAGGATCGACGAGATCGCGGAGAAAGAATCCCCTCGAGAATGTCAGATTGATCAAATGCAGCCCTGCAGTTGAAAGAATATGGTGAAAATGGGGATGCAACCGTGACTACATTGGTGAATACCTTTCTTAGGAGCAGCTGCTGCTTTCTTGGCCTGCTCTTCCTCAGCGCGAGCCAAGAAGACCCCCGGATCCTCTACTTCGTCTCCCCCCAAGAGGGAGAAGAAGTTCGCTGACGCCATTTCAACGCAAAGATAAGCTAAGCTGTAGCTGTTCTATCAGCTAGAGAAAACTAAAAACTAATGAAATCCTCCGATCATGAGAACTAAAATCAAGAAGTTTGTAATAGTAGAAAAACACGTAATACCTATTCCAGGAGTATATATTTGAGTTAGTCTAAGGGATTTCTATGGAGCTCCCTAAGCCTACGAAAAGAAGCAAATGGGCAAGGATTGTAGAAGAAATCCAGAAAAGAGGAAGATAGAAGACGCGCTGCCTTCGAAATATTGGAGCTGGTCATGCAGAGCGACTGGGAGAGGAGGACAGGGGTGGGGGAAAGAATGAGAATGGGGAGGAGGGGTTGTGTCAGGGGGTGTTCTGCGCGGATTAGCGGTGTTCTGCGCCGATTAGCGGACTAGCGCTGATGATGAGCTGACGCTGGCGAAAATCTGTGTCATCCACATCCAATTACAGGCCACATTGGACCTGGTGGGGCCATTGGGCTGATAATGACAGCACTCCTCGATCATGGGAGAGCCACGTCAACAAATGGATGAGATTTCGAGGTTTCGGTAAGGTTACGATGTATATGTTGCTGTTTACGAGGACGGAATAACTACACTGATGAGAATGCAATTGATCGTAAAACATTTATGTGGTGATTTACAATTATGCATGTGGTGATTCACTGTGGCGGGTCCCGATTTCAGATTTTTGTCAGAGCGTACGGACGTCACCTGAGATTTCGCAGATGCTCACGAAATACTCACACCTTTTTCGCAATCGGCCTGCGTTACATGCCTGAACCACGCCACACCGAAGGGGTACATGCCTGAACCATGCCACATCCACGCCAGGTCGCGTCAATCATGCTTGTCCTTCCATGCCACATCGAGGGCATCCCCGTTAGTGCCGCCACGTTGTCCAAAACATTTGCAACTGCCCTCTGTACTGTCTTGCCGATTTCAGAACTTTCGGGAACACGAAAGCTATGAAGATCACTACCATATGGGAAGTTCTCGAATGTTCCTCACTTGTGTGATTCCAATTTCGCTGGCACTCAACCTTTCACCCCGAGAAATGAGGGGGTAAGCCGGAACAAAACTTTCAAACCAGCACAGCCAATTCCCAAGGGACAAAAGCCAAGGCTTCCATCCATTCGGGAGCCTCAACCCTAAAATTTTAGGGTTGAGGCTCCCGAATGGCATGCCGGTCGCGATGGGGTTTAGTTTTTTTGCCCCGGGTAGTTTGTCGTTTTGTGTTTTGCTGTTTGTCGCTTGCTCGCCTGCTACGTCTCGTTGAGATATACTAGCCTGTCCGCTTCCAGCACCACAACCTTGGGATGGGACCAGGCCTGTCGAAGTTCCTGGGGCTCGTACTTGCGCTCCCCAGCTCCTCCCAATCTAACCCTTGGTTGGGGGTAGGTGAGCGTTTTGGCGCCCTTAAGTGGTCACGGGCGCACCCCAAAGTCAGAACTTGAAATCAGGGCATGTTTGAAGTTTGTACTTACACTACATTTTACTATGATACGTGCAGTTATCTACTTATATTAGAAGTCAAGAACACCAAACACTACACATGTCTTAAATAGTCATAAAACCTACCTAACCTGGAATGTTCTTCTTCTCTACTCTAACTACAGAAATGGCATGCAGAGCTCAGCTACTCTACTCTAACCAAACATGCAATGCAAGCCTAAGTTGCAGGCTTCCTCCCCTTCCTCCCCTTCTCCTCAAACAAGGCATAGGCCACTGCCCAGTCCACCGGGTAGTCTAGCATCTTCACCGTCATGAGCTCCCCCAGCCTCACATCAGAAAGAGCAACACGATCCCACGACTTAATAATGTTTTGGCGGGAGAAGCCCCTCTCACACTCAACAGTGCTGAGAGGCAGCACAGAAACCGCACGCCAGAGAGATACAATGGTGGGATAGTCATCCCTCCAGTCTGCCGTGCGCTGCATGTTGGTGAGAGCCTGATGGAAGCTCTGCTTCTTGAACTTCTTCTCCATGGTGGCTACGAAGAGGCGCATCTGCGGCTCTATGTCATCAAGAGTGACTCCTGCCATGGACATATACAACAAGTGGAACATGTCATGGTTGGAGAAGAACATAAACAAGGTTAGAACATAGACAAGGTTCCTACAACAGGCCTCGCGACTTACCAGGTAGCTTGTTCTTGAACATGTCAAGGAGCTCGTTGAGATGCAGCTTCACCCACGCGTCCTGCTCTCCTGCACGGGGGGGATACTTATCAGGGGTGAAGAAACCAACACCATCAAAATGGCGCAGGTCCGCCATCCTCTTCCCCAGCGCCTTAATGAGGCGCTGAGCGAAACGCCTCGCCAGGTCCGCGCAGGCCTCCAAGTCGCATCCCCCCCCTGGGTTCTTAGGGTCGATGATGTCCTCGTGAAGCTCGAACTCGGCTGTTGCAGGCTTGCCGTTCTCATCCACTCCCTTGAGCTGCATCTTGCGCTTGTCCTTGCTTTTGTGTGCAGCAAGGAACTTGTTCAGGCGGGAGGTGTTCGGCCTGTTGGATGCGCCGGGCTCGACGTAGTACTGCGCCAGCTTGGTCTTCACCTTGTCGACATGATTCTTCACCTGTGTGATGTCGACCGGAAGGCAAACAGAGCGCGAATCCATTAAAACCTTGCACATAAGTCATGAAGCGCCTGGGTCATGTTCATAACAACCTTACCGTCTGCTTCTGGAAGGAAAGATTGAGTCCGTTGAGCAGCTGCAGCACGTCAGCCAGGAGGTAAAGCATGTAGTGGAACTTGAAGCTGGTTGCGAGCTTCTCCGTCCCGTCCTTCTCCTTCGTCCACATCCACATCAGAACCGGCAGCACGTCGCAGAACCGATTCACAGCATCCCCGCGAGACAACCAACGGACGGTGCAGAAGCCTTGCACCTCTAGGTGCGTCTTCAGAATGACGTCCTGGAGCTGCATGTAGGTCTTGTGATCCGTAGATGAACGCCCGAGACGCTCAGCAGTCTGGCGTATCATCTGATCCACGACGTTGAACTCCTTGAAGCTCTTAGCGGCATCCTTTGCAGCCAATGCCTCGCTGCACAAGCACGAAATGTGGGTAAGTATGGTTGGCGACGAAAATAACATCACATAACAGTGCGGTGCAACCTTACCGATGCGCCACGCAGTGAATCGCCACCAGCCACGGGCAACGTTCTGCTTGCCAGTCATGACGGATGCACCATCCGTTGAAACCCAACCAGCTTGTCCATCGACATGTCCTTCGACCACAGACACTTCACGATCGCGTCGTACAGTGCTGCAGCGTCGCATCGCTCGAGCGACAGGAGAGCAAGAAACTGGCACACCACGGCCTCGCCTCTCTCGAACGTGCAATACACGATGAGATGCTTTCCACGGGCGCGATCCGTGGATTCGTCGAAGGAGAGGCTGTACCAGGCCGACTCTTTGACGTCCACGAGCTGCCTGGCCACCAGATGCTCCGACATAGCCTCTACGAACTCGCCGAAAGCGTATCTGCAATTAGTACAGACTGAAAATGTAAGTTAGTTACTCACAAAAGAACAGCAATAGAAGTACGTAACAAGCAGAAACCTCAGACCAGAATCAGAAGCAGGATAGAAGAAGCAAAAACATAGGCTAACAACCACGTACCGCGAGTAATAACGATTGTATGCTTCGCTGCTCCGCATGTCGGGGCATCCTTGCTCCGCCATGAACCGCACCAGCAAGGGGTAGAGAGCGATAGGTGCATCGTGCTGTGCGATCCAATGAGCTCCCTGCATGCATTTCACGACTCTCGCCATGACAGGATTGCTGCTGAGCATGTTCAAGAGGCTGCGCTGCCTCATCTCCGTGCCTGCAGCAAGTCGTTCTGCTTCCATGGCCGCGAGGTGCACCTTGGACTGGTCATGGTTGCGGCATGCAGACTTCTGAAAATCCCTCGCACCGACGCCAGGACCGCCAAATGGAGACTTGGTGTTAGGAGCGAACTTACAGCACGCGGAACACTTCATACCGTACTGGCGCTCCTCTTTGTCCCACTTCAGGCTCAGCCACGAGTACGTCTGCTTCCAGGCTGTGCTGAAGCGTCGTGCATGACGCCTCTCAACAGCAGGGATCTCGGTGTCCGCGGGTACTTCTGCATCCTCTGCGATAGCCTTGTCCTGTGCATCCAGCTCCTCAGCCGTGGGTGGAGGCGGCGTGCTTCGTGCGCGCTTCCGCGATTGTGGTGGCGGACCTGCGAAGCTGAGGTGCACCTGACGAAAGCGGCCCGCAGACCTCGGTGTAGTCTGCGACGATGCGGCTTGCTGGGCGTCGCGTGGGTCCAAGACAGAGACTGCTACATCTAGCATCTCTTCAGCATCCGGTGGTACGTATGGCTCGGTCTCGGTCGTACTATGCGAATGAGAGATGCTCGTCATGGCCAAAACTGGAGGAGGGGTTTCACCCTCGCTAGGCTCCATTGTGGGAGAACGTTGCTGACGAAGTACACTGGTCAGCTAGCCATAATATACACCTCGCGTGTGTGAGTTAGGCGACGCGGGGTTTACACGACAGGGTGGGTGGGTGGAGGAGAAGTGCCATAGCACGGCACTTACGAGGGTGGAGAGCAGAGAGCTTGGGTCGATGGTACCGTGGTGGTGGTTGGACGGTGGGGAAGAGAAAACATGGCACGAACAAAGGAGGAGAAGAGAGGGAGCCTGGGTGGGTGGTGGTGGTGGATGGATTGCATGGTGGTGGAGAGGAATCGTGGCTCGCACGAACGAAGGTGGTGAGGGAGCTGCTATGGTGGAGTGCTTCAGGTCCTTTGACGTGCTTTGGTTTAGTGTGTAGAATGTCTCTGTGGCCAAGGAACTTAGCCAGATTCACTCAAGATAATCCCATGTGTCACAGTTGTACACTGCGGCCAGCTCGTATTGGACGCTAAGGGAATGTGCGGGTGCTCCTAGGCTGACTGAGACACGCTACACACACAGGATTGGCTACAAAACGCTAAGGGAAAAATCCCCTTGGCGCGCTCTAGTTCAGGCAGAGGAGAAAGAGGGGGGGGGTGGGGGAGGGTGTCTTGGGCACCCTTGGGGGGGGGGGTCCTACGACCTGAAACCTACACTTAGATACAGGGGAAGGCCCGGTTTCGTCACTTAACGCATCCGGGGAAGGTTCGAATGAGGCACTTAGTGGCACGGGTGGGGTGCGATTTTAAAACTTGACGCATTGGAGCTGGAGCTAAAATAGCCCTTAAAGCCGGCAGCCCAAATTGCACAAGTTTTAAAAGGTTGACGCGAGGGGGTTTTTGTGGTGAGGGTTTTGGCGAAAGATTCCGATTTCGCTTTTTTCGTTTTTTTCGCCAAACCCAGCCCGCCCTCGTATTTCGCCCTGGGGGTTGGTTCAGTTCCCAAAAGTCCCAAATTGCAGGCACGCTTTTCTTCAAACCTTGAAAACACTAGTTCGTCAAGTTTTAAAAGCTTGACCCGCGCGGCCCGCAATTTGGGACTCGGGCTTTAATGTCAGGGCATTAAGGGCATATGCCCGTCAATCGTCAGGCCTGGATGGGACCCTGTCGTTCCACTCCCTTGACCTTGTACCACCCGTCTGGTGGTGGTGGTGTTTAGATCAACCTCTCCCTCCATACATCTTTGCTTCTCTTTCTGCGTGTTCGTGCTCCAGCTTCTAAATTCAGAATGATTCCGGATTCCCAGGTACAGCATAGGTGATTGTTATGGACGGTCATCATGGATCGCCTGGGCTTTCGTCCCACTGTACTCACGCCTGGCCGAAAGTCGTCTTTCAAAATGACGGTCGCTGTCGTTCCTTTAGGTCGAACCGCCAGTCTGGTTTTAACCTTAATTCTTCTGTTGTGCTGGGGCGACGTTCAGCTATCGCCCGCGTTCCTCGGCGGCAATTTCGACCCGAATCGCACGTTGTTCTCACTCCAGCTGCAGCAGAAGCACCAACAGCGCGGTCGAGCAGAGGCATGCGTCGAGCAAGGCAGAGCGACTTGCCCTAGTACCGCACCCAGTAGCGGAGCGGGGATCACGGAAAGATCACCCAAAGTTTTCGGCGAAGACAGCACTTACCACGAGAAATACAGATCGTCACTGGTGCTTCCGCTACAGGGGTTAACAACCTCGTGGAATCTCCTGCAAGTTCTACTCTTCGGGTTTGAGAGCTGCTCTAGCGCTGGCCTACGCGATTGCGCATCCCAACAAGGGAACCATGGTACTTTCACACCAACCCTTTCCCGTTCTTCATCCCCAGAATTAAGTAGCCGAGAAAACGGGGAGTCACGGCAGGTTGTGGCGCAGCAGTCGACAGGAGCAGAGCCTAGAAGCGAGAGCGATCCTGCGAGGAGTCAGGCCGATGCTGTTAAGGAGATACCGCACCCGCAGGGATCTTCTGAGGGGGGAGAAAGTATGGTTTTGAGCGAAGTGACGGGATCAGGGAAGGTGGCGGAGTCTTCCTTAGAAGCCAAGGGTTCGGCTTCCATCGAGGATTCTAGCCGAATTGGCGGTGCTGCGGCGGTAGAATCTGGCACAACAGCGGCCGTCGGTGCGGGGCAAGCGGGTGCAGCGCAATCGGCGGGGTCGTCAACTGAAGCTGGCGCCCCCGAGACTGGGCGTCAAGAGGCGGCGCTTGGGCCGAGCGCCGCAGGGGAGCCGGGGAAGATTGCGGGAACCGTAGAGGAAGGAAGAGAGGAGCGCCCCGCAGCGGGCGCAACGGCGACGGTAGATGCTGCTGCAGCGAAACCCAGTCAAGCGGGGTCGTTCCTCGACGATGATGACGTGGACTCCGCGCGTCCAGTGCGCGTGATCCCCCCCGGGCTAGACGCGTACAAGCGGGAGTATTTCAACAAGCAGAGGGCCGCGGAAGGAAACGAACCCCCCGCGGGGGTGATCCCCGCGGGAGTGCCCATCCCCCCTTCAGGAGTAGCGTACGCTGGCGCAGTGCCAGGCGCAGCCGGCGGAGCAGCTGGCGGAGCTTCCGCCAGTGTACCCGCGGATGCGGTCGCCCTCGCGGGGGGCGCGGTCCCTGCGCCTGGCGCTGGTTTCCCGCCCATGGGAGGAGGGCAGATAGTAGGCGGTGCAATGGGAGGGGCGCAGATTGGGGAAGCGGTTGATATAGGGGGAATTGGCGGAGGAATGGGGGGGGTGGGCGGAGGGATGGGCGGAGGGATGCGCGGGGGAATGGCAGGCGGAATGGCGGGCGGAATGGCGGGCGGAATGGCGGGCGGAATGGGTGGTCAACCACCAGAATGGCCTCGGCGGAGACAGACGGGCACGGATAAGAGCCGGTACAACTATGCCTCCGCGAATCACGGCGCCAAGATAGTGGACTGTAGCAGCGAGGCGAAACGACCGCAGGCCGTTTTAGACGAAGATAAGGACAAGTACTTACGCATCCCGTGTAGTGTAGCAAACAAATTCCTCGTTATAGAGCTCTCCGAGTTCCTAGCGCGGATAGAAACGATAGTCCTCGCGAATTACGAGTTCTACGCGTCTTCTACTAAAGACTTCGAAGTCTGGGCGAGCAGAAATTACCCCTCGGACCGCTGGCACTTTCTGGGAAACTTCTCAGCGCAGAGCGTGCGAACGCCCCAGGCGTTCGAGGTGACGGGCAGCGGAGATCTCGGGGATTCAGTGCGGTACGTAATGGTGCGGCAGCTGTCGCACCACGGGGCGGAATTCTTCTGCACGCTGAGTCTGGTGCGAGTGCACGGGGTGAACGAGCTGGACGGGCTCAGGGAGGAGATGGAAGCGATGACGAGGATGATGGGGGCGGGTAGACAGGCTGTGCCTGCTGCTCCTCCGGGCAGACCGGGTGTTGCTGCTGCTGCTGCTGCTGCTGCTGCTCCAACGCTGCCGGTGGGTTCTCAGGCGGTTATTGCTCCAGTTGTTACCACTCCTCAAGTAGTTACTATTCCTCAAGTGGTTACCACTCCTGAAATGGCTACCACTCCTCCAGCATTTTCCACTCCACAAGTGGTAACCATTTCCCAAGTGGCGACAGTGGGGTCTGTGGGCTTAGATGGTTCAATGGGTTCAGAGGGTTCCAGAGCGGTTCCAACTGAGAAATTGCCGCCACTCTCCGTGCCCGTTGCTGCTGATGCTGCTGCTGCTGCAGAAGCAGCGAACTTTGCTGCCACCGCAGACTCTGCCTCTTCTCCTGAATCGGCCCAACCCATCCACCCATCCAATCCTCTTCCTGCCTCTCCGCCTCCACCTCCTCCTGCTGCTGCTGCCACCAGAGATTCTGCTGCGTCTCCTGCTGCTGCTTCCAATTCCAGTGAGACAGCAGCTGCTTCAAGCAACACAGGGGCGAATACGGAGGCTGGGAGCACAGGAGGTGGCGTGGAGGACAATGGGAGTCCCCCACCTGCCCCTGGCGCCATCCCGCAACCACCAGTTTCTGGCTCAGCCCCTAACTCAGCTCTTCCGGAGACTCCTTCCGGAAAGGCGGAGGAGGAATTGGGTGGGAGCAGAAGAACGGGGGCAGAGAGAGGAGGGGTTGGGCACGGGGGTGGGGAGCAGCGTGAGGTGGAGGCTGGTGAGGGGCATGGAAGGGTGCAGGAGCGGGGTTCTGAAAGGGAGGCTTGCACTGAGGGCAGCAGGGAGAGGAGCAGTGAAGTGGTGCCTGAGGAAGGAGAGATTTTAGTAAGGAGCATTGATGGAAGTAGTGGCAGCAACGAGACTGGTGGTAAAGGCAACATCACGAGTGGTGTTAGCAGCACAGAGATCAGTGGTAGCAGCAGCAACACCAGTGGTAGGAGCAACATCACGAGTGGTGGTAGTGGTGAAAGCAGTGGGGATTCGATGCAGAGCTGGGTGGAAGCCGAGGGGAGGGACGAGATGGGGAGGGACGAGGAGAAGGTGTTGATAAAGGCAGCGGATGGCGACGGGAAAGCTGAAGCGGCTGGGGAGGAGGGGAGGGCGGAGGGAAGGCATGGGGTGGGCAGGTTGGGAGAGCGAGAGAGTGAGAAGCTGGGTGATAGAGGAGGTGGTGCAGAGAGACCATGTGCATCAGAAAAGGGAGCAGCAGCAAGTGCAGATGCTGCTGCCGGGTCGTGTAGTGTTGGGGTAAGTGCTGCTCATATGGGAGGTGCCTCTGGTTCTGTTGTCCAGCCTACCGGTGCTGACGGTAGCGCTGATGCAAGTGCTGATGCGGGCGCCGAGGCAAATGGTGTGGGAGGTGGTATGGGCGGAGCAGAAAGTGTGGCAGTACTTGGTGGGGGAAAAGCAGGGGAGGCTGCGGAAGTAGCACCTGATGGGGTTTCAGAGCTGGTGAGAAGTGAGGGTACTGGGAAGCTTCCTTACTCCGAGGAAGAAGCTTCGTTGGCAGGAGGGAGGCGGGGAGAAAAGGGAGGGAGTGTGGTGGAGGGAGCAAGGGAGGGGAACAGAGCTGAGGAGGGGCAGAGTGATAGTGCTGGTAGAGGCAGTGATGCAACCAGAGGAGAATTGGGGGGAGTGAGAGAAACTGAGGGGAGTGATTTGAAGAGGTTAAATAAGGGATTTGGTACAGGCAATGCTAAACATGTGGCAGGGGAGAAGCAGGAGAATGTGGGGGATGTTGGAGGGGGAGTGAGGGAGGAAGTGGACGAGGGTATGGAGGCTCGGGTTGGGGGAGGCGAGTTCAAAGCATCTGTTGGGGAAGGCAGAGGCGCGCTTTTTATTGGTTTGGTTAAGGGAGTAGAGAAGGCAGAGGCAGAGGCAGCAACACCGGTTCATACAGGGGCAGAGGCAGGGGCAGATGCAGCGGGAGAGTTTAAGGTGGAGACAGCGGAAGAGGCAGATCCCAACATTGCGTCTGCTGGAGGGAGCTCCCAACAAGGTGGAGGCAGCTCTGTTTCTGCTCCCAAAGATGCTCCCAAAGAGCCACAAGGTCAAGCGGGCGATGGTGATGCGGTAGGCGCCAAGGCAGGTGCTGGATCGGGGTCAACTAGTCGGTTTGGTGTCCCCCCCGCTGCTCCCTCCATGCCATCCTCTCCCACACCCTCACACCAGGGCTCTACCCCAGGGACTGGTTCATCGCTGGGAGAAGGAGGCTTGGATGATATGGAAAGTTCGGGAAAAAAGGCAGGTGCAGATGGGGAGGCAGGGGCACGTGTTAGGGATGCAGGAGATGCTAGGATGGATGGGGAGGTTGGAGGGGAGGAGGAGCGAGTGAACAGCATTGTTGTGGAGGCTGGAGGGGGGAGCAGACTGGTAGCTGCTCCTTCAGGTGGTTTGTCAGGTGGTTTATCAGACAAGGAAGAGAGCATCCAGGTGAAACCAGCAGTGACAGGTGTGGTGCAGGGGTCACCGTCGGCAGCAGCAGGTGGTCAGCAGAAAGGGTTATCTGATCCGGGCGGCAATAAAATCCAAGAAACTCGGGAAGCGAGATCTACGGCAGTCAATGAGAGTCGCACAGAAGATAGCAGTGCAGCAGGCAACAGGAACAAAGTAACGAATGGTGGAAAGCCCACTAACGAGGATGGTACCTCGTTGCAACCAAACACCGCAGGTGAGGTGCCTGGGACCGGCAGTGAGGCAGAGGTGGGGAGCAGCAGCAGTAACAGCAGAAGTGCCACCAGCAGCAGCAGCAGCAGTAGCAGCTCCAGCACTACCACGATCACCAGCAGCACCAGCAGTGGGGGAGGAGGTGATGCAAGTAGCCTAGCAACAGGCAATAAAGAGACGGGTACCATCGCTATGGGCGCCAGTGGGACACCCACTGACGCGACAGCCAGCATTGCAGTAGGCAATAACGGAGCCCTCATTAGTGGAGCTCAGGTGGTCACGAGTACCAGCACCAGTACCACCCCCTTCAGCATCAGCAGCAGCGGCAGCAGTTTCGCCGGCGCTGCCAGCAACCTGTACGGGCTCAAGTCGCTGATGCACATGGTGAGGCAGTGGGAGGACAAGCAGGCAGTGCTGGAGCAGTATGTTGAGGACATGGCTGCCTCGTATGCGGCTAATCTCGCTTCTACCGATGCTGAGCTGCTGTCGCTGCGAACGCGATTGCGGAATGCAACGGTTGCCATTGCAGGACTGCAGGCGCAGCTGCAGAATGCGGTGAGAGTGGAATTTGGTGTTGGCGTGTTTTCGAGAGCGATGTTTGTGCTTGTATGCGAGAGATCTGCATGCTTGCTGCCTCCTATGTGTGTGACGGTATTTTGGAATGTATGGGTGCGACCTACCTAGGTTTTTTCTTTGCGGGCATGACCTGTGCAGGAGCATCGGCATGAAAAAGAGCTGGAGGAAATTCGTAAGGATGTTTCGGCACAAGTTGAGAGCCTTCAACAGAGCATCATTAGTGCCAGGTGAGTTGATATTATGCATGTATCCTGTTGCATGTTGAGTGGTCTTATTGACATATCTTGTACTTACATCGGATGTTGGGGATTCCTGTTTTTTTGTTGCAGAGGGGTCTCTTCAGAACTATCAAGAAGATTCGAAGAAGTGCTTTGGCTGGCTGTATTAGTTGCCACAGTAGTGGGCGTCTTGGGCTTTGTCCTAGGCGTTTCACTTACTAGGCTTTGGAGTTATAGAATCTATTGATTATAGCTCAGGTTCTTAGGTATCCAGCCTAGGTTAGGTGTAGATGCTTCCAAAAACGGGGTAATTATTCCCCCATTTTAGTCGCAATTTCGCACTGTCAGCCCTTGAAGTATTCGCGCCAAATCAGCTGGGCATATGCCATCGCCAACGCTGTCACAGCGACACTCGCCCCGTCAAACCCGCGGAGCACTGTCAGGTGCGGGCCGGTACGGTAACAAAGGGACCTCCGCCATACCAATTTGACGCGACTGTGTCGAAATTGGTGCGATCCCTCCTTTCACGTTAGGCGGAACTCCTTCCGGTTATCCGCGTGGTGCCCCATGTCCAAAGAAACCGTTTGACTGGAGCACTTTTGCAACTCTGCGCTTCCCTGCGAAATGCAGACATTCTTGCGGTTCAGTGCGTTAGGAGGTGGTATCTTTGCTCCGTCACATCTCAGACTCACTCGCGCGTGTGGCCTCTCTTCCCCAGCACGGCACAGCGCACAGCACCTCAACAGCAACTAGGCAATATTGTTAGATAGGGTGCTGGTCAGGGTATCTATGCGGTCCGCGTCTTGGTCTATGTAATTATTCATAGGAAGCCCTAGTAGAGTGGTATAGGTAATCAACTGTGTGGGTGGTTGGAGAATAGCTTTAATATTTCCAGAGCAATTAGTTATTTCGACACATTTGACCGTATTTATTTCAGTGAGCAGGCCACGCTGAAACAATGGGAGGATGCCTCTCCACATGTCTCGGCTCTGCATCGGTCGAAAAAGATAAAGGAAATGTCGACGAGAGCAAGGTTCAGAAGCATCCTGACATTGGCGGTAGTCGAACCGGCGACGATAACTGCGACGGAGCGAAGATACAAAACGCGAAGTACCCCAAAGACGATAAGAGCATTCCATTAGGTCTCCGGACCGACTTCGGTTATAAGCGCGACTTCGAGAAGCATTATAAGACCGGGAAGGAGCTGGGACACGGGCAATTCGGGACGACTTATGAGTCGATACAACTAGCGACGGATAATCGCGTGGCGGTCAAGGCGATTCAAAAGAAATCGGTGAGCATCTTAGGAACAAGCGTCTTAGGAACGTAACAATGAAGGTCATCGAAGAGTGCATGCATACAAAAAGGTCAATGCTTGCTGTCCGGAGGGAAAGAACACACGTTTTCATTCCGGCTTGTTATGACGTGCTGAGCAAAGCTTAGATGGCCAATTGAGAACTTCATTCTGCAGTAACTGGTCCTGGATGACATTTCAGTTCTACAACCTTAATTTCTATGTTGTTGACGCCGTTGGCTCTTAGCTTTACACAAAAGTTATGCCCTTTTTCTTAGTTTTGTTAACCCCGTGTACTCTCACTTCTCCCCGTGTACCCTCGCTCGGCGCGCTGCAGATGAAGCAGCCAATAGCGGTTGAGGACGTGGAGAGGGAGGTGAAGATCCTGCAGCTGCTGTCGGGCCATCCCAACGTGGTTCAGTTTATCGACGTGTTTGAGGACACGGAGCTCGTGTACATTGTCATGGAGTGAGTGCTGCTATAACGGGTACCCAGTGTACACTTGGTTCAGGGGATGGCAAGAGAGAAACATTACGTTTCGGCCGTTTCAGAAATTTCGGTTTTGCTCTGTCTGTGAAGGGACAAGGAGGGGCGTGTATTCCATTCTGTCATTTTGTTACCTTTTTCATTTTTGTACGTTTGTCTCCTCCGATGCAGGTTGTGTGAAGGAGGAGAACTGCTTGACAGGATTTTGGGCAAGTGAGTAAGGGTGATAGTCATTGAAGGTGGTGGTGAGTAAGGTCTGGGCCGAGTGTGTGGGGGCGATGGCGATTGCGTGAGAGGGAGGGCGAGTGAGTGAGGGGAGAGGGAGGGAGGGGGGGGGGGGGGGGGGGCGAGTCAGTGAAGGTCAGGGCGCGAGTGAACGAAGGCTGGGGCGAGTGGTTGAGGGCGGTTGCTTGTGAGGCTGGAGCACCAATGTCGTACAGAAAGCGGAGTGAACAAACCCTTGGACACCGAATACAGTACCCAGGTGTTTGATCAAGTTAATCAGTCTTCTAATCCCCTCCACCTCAAGCAACCATACGTTTCAGCTTTTGGCTCTCTCCTTCCGTCGTCCAGTCACCCTCCCTCCCTCCCTCCCTCCCTCCCTCCCTTCCTCCCTCCCTCTCTCCCTTCCTCCCTCCTTCCCTCTCTCCCTCCCTCCCTCCCTCTCTCCCTCCCTCCCTCCCTCCCTCCCTCGCTTCCTCGCTCACTCACTCACGCCCTGCCTACCCGTCTCCCCGCCTGGCTGCCTGCTCGTCCTTCCGTCCCTGCGTGCGCCGCCCATCATGACAGGAAGGACAACCGGTACTCAGAGAAGGACGCGGCGAGCGTGATGAGGCAGATGCTCAACGTGACACCATTGAACCAACTCCAAAGTCCGTCTGCCTGCCTTTCTGCCTGTCTGCCCTTCTCTCCTCTCACCATAACAGGAAGGACAACCTGTATTCTGAAAAGGACGCGGCGAGCGTGATGAGGCAGATGCTCAACGTGACACCATTGAACCAACTCCAAAGTCCGTCTGCCTGCCTTTCTGCCTGTCTGCCCTTCTCTCCTCTCACCATGACAGGAAGGACAACCGGTATTCTGAAAAGGACGCGGCGAGCGTGATGAGGCAGATGCTCAACGTGACACCATTGAACCAACTCCAAAGTCCGTCTGCCTGCCTTTCTGCCTGTCTGCCCTTCTCTCCTCTCACCATGACAGGAAGGACAACCGGTATTCTGAAAAGGACGCGGCGAGCGTGATGAGGCATATGCTCAACGTGACACCATTGAACCAACTCCAAAGTCCGTCTGCCTGCCTTTCTGCCTGTCTGCCCTTCTCTCCTCTCACCATGACAGGAAGGACAACCGGTATTCTGAAAAGGACGCGGCGAGCGTGATGAGGCAGATGCTCAACGTGACACCATTGAACCAACTCCAAAGTCCGTCTGCCTGCCTTTCTGCCTGTCTGCCCTTCTCTCCTCTCACCATGACAGGAAGGACAACCGGTATTCTGAAAAGGACGCGGCGAGCGTGATGAGGCAGATGCTCAACGTGACACCATTGAACCAACTCCAAAGTCCGTCTGCCTGCCTTTCTGCCTGTCTGCCCTTCTCTCCTCTCACCATGACAGGAAGGACAACCGGTATTCTGAAAAGGACGCGGCGAGCGTGATGAGGCAGATGCTCAACGTGACACCATTGAACCAACTCCAAAGTCCGTCTGCCTGCCTTTCTGCCTGTCTGCCCTTCTCTCCTCTCACCATGACAGGAAGGACAACCGGTATTCTGAAAAGGACGCGGCGAGCGTGATGAGGCAGATGCTCAACGTGACACCATTGAACCAACTCCAAAGTCCGTCTGCCTGCCTTTCTGCCTGTCTGCCCTTCTCTCCTCTCACCATGACAGGAAGGACAACCGGTATTCTGAAAAGGACGCGGCGAGCGTGATGAGGCAGATGCTCAACGTGACACCATTGAACCAACTCCAAAGTCCGTCTGCCTGCCTTTCTGCCTGTCTGCCCTTCTCTCCTCTCACCATGACAGGAAGGACAACCGGTATTCTGAAAAGGACGCGGCGAGCGTGATGAGGCAGATGCTCAACGTGACACCATTGAACCAACTCCAAAGTCCGTCTGCCTGCCTTTCTGCCTGTCTGACCTTCTCTCCTCTCACCATGACAGGAAGGACAACCGGTATTCTGAAAAGGACGCGGCGAGCGTGATGAGGCAGATGCTCAACGTGACACCATTGAACCAACTCCAAAGTCCGTCTGCCTGCCTTTCTGCCTGTCTGCCCTTCTCTCCTCTCACCATGACAGGAAGGACAACCGGTATTCTGAAAAGGACGCGGCGAGCGTGATGAGGCAGATGCTCAACGTGACACCATTGAACCAACTCCAAAGTCCGTCTGCCTGCCTTTCTGCCTGTCTGCCCTTCTCTCCTCTCACCATGACAGGAAGGACAACCGGTATTCTGAAAAGGACGCGGCGAGCGTGATGAGGCAGATGCTCAACGTGACACCATTGAACCAACTCCAAAGTCCGTCTGCCTGCCTTTCTGCCTGTCTGCCCTTCTCTCCTCTCACCATGACAGGAAGGACAACCGGTATTCTGAAAAGGACGCGGCGAGCGTGATGAGGCAGATGCTCAACGTGACACCATTGAACCAACTCCAAAGTCCGTCTGCCTGCCTTTCTGCCTGTCTGCCCTTCTCTCCTCTCACCATGACAGGAAGGACAACCGGTATTCTGAAAAGGACGCGGCGAGCGTGATGAGGCAGATGCTCAACGTGACACCATTGAACCAACTCCAAAGTCCGTCTGCCTGCCTTTCTGCCTGTCTGCCCTTCTCTCCTCTCACCATGACAGGAAGGACAACCGGTATTCTGAAAAGGACGCGGCGAGCGTGATGAGGCAGATGCTCAACGTGACACCATTGAACCAACTCCAAAGTCCGTCTGCCTGCCTTTCTGCCTGTCTGCCCTTCTCTCCTCTCACCATGACAGGAAGGACAACCGGTATTCTGAAAAGGACGCGGCGAGCGTGATGAGGCAGATGCTCAACGTGACACCATTGAACCAACTCCAAAGTCCGTCTGCCTGCCTTTCTGCCTGTCTGCCCTTCTCTCCTCTCACCATGACAGGAAGGACAACCGGTATTCTGAAAAGGACGCGGCGAGCGTGATGAGGCAGATGCTCAACGTGACACCATTGAACCAACTCCAAAGTCCGTCTGCCTGCCTTTCTGCCTGTCTGCCCTTCTCTCCTCTCACCATGACAGGAAGGACAACCGGTATTCTGAAAAGGACGCGGCGAGCGTGATGAGGCAGATGCTCAACGTGACACCATTGAACCAACTCCAAAGTCCGTCTGCCTGCCTTTCTGCCTGTCTGCCCTTCTCTCCTCTCACCATGACAGGAAGGACAACCGGTATTCTGAAAAGGACGCGGCGAGCGTGATGAGGCAGATGCTCAACGTGGTGGCGCGCTGCCACCTCAACGGTGTTGTGCACCGCGACCTCAAGCCCGAGGTGCGAGCTGTTCTAAGCCAAGGGGCAGAAAGGGGTTAGCCAAGCTATTTTGACCCCGAGGTGGGATGTGTTTCAAGCCAGGGGCTAGACAGGTAGGTCGCCAAGGCAGGGGTGGCGCGCTGCCACCTCAACGGCGTCGTGCACCGCGACCGCAAGCCCGAGGTGCCATGGCTGAAAGGTAAGCCCGTGGTGTGGTAGCCTGTGGGTGGCACGCCAGGTATGAGAAAGGCCTTCTGGCAGAGGCGAGATAGGTGCCGAGCTAGGGTTGATTTCCTCTGCATCATTCCCGCCTCCATGCGCACCCCTCTCCACCCATACGTGTTGCGCAGAACTTTCTGTTCGCCAACAAGACGGAAGAATCCCCTCTCAAGGCCACCGACTTTGGCCTCTCGGACTTCAGAAAGCCAGGTGAGCGGCGCACCTGGGGAGTTGCACGTGCTAGGGTAGATGTTTTATGTAAGTAAGGAAACGGAGGGATCGCCTCTCAAGGCCACCGGCTTTGGCCTCTCGGATTTCAGAAAGCCAGGTGAGGGGCACAGGGAAGGGGGGAAACGGGGGGAAGGGGGGAAGGTGCGAGGACCGGGGTATAAGGAGGGGCCTAGAAGGCGAGAGGGTGATTTAGAAGGCAGACAGCCACCCCATCCCAGTTCACCCCTCTCTGTCCCACCCCACCTCACTCAACGCCAGGCAAGCACTTCACGGACGTGGTGGGCAGCGCCTACTATGTGGCCCCAAGAGGTGATGGAGGTTTGTCCTGCTTACACCAACTTCACTCCACCTCATTTCAACCCCCTCTACTCCATTTCACCCCCCTCTACCTCACTCCACCCTCCACACATCTCTTCCCCAGGCAAGCACTTCACGGACGTGGTGGGCAGCGCCTACTACGTGGCCCCCGAGGTGCTCAAGAGGCGGTCAGGGCCGGAGAGTGACGTGTGGAGCATTGGCGTGATCACCTATATCCTGCTATCGGGCAGACGACCGTTCTGGGATAAAACGGAGGCAGGAATTTTCAATGAGGTGAGATGAAAGGGAGGGAGATAGAATGAAGGGAAGGGATTAGAAAGAGGGAGAGTGATGTGTGGAGCATTGGCGTCACCACGTACATTCTTCTGTCAGGCAGACGGCCATTCTGGGATAAAACGGAGGCGGGGATATTTAACGAGGTGCGGGGAAGGAGGGTGAGGGGGGGGAGTAGCAGGGGGGTTGAGGGAAAGGGAGAGAGGAGGGACAGGGTTAAGGGAGTGAGGGTGACGTGTGGAGCATTGGCGTCATCACGTAAATCTTGCTGTCAGGCAGACGACTGTTCTGGTATAAAACAGAGGCCGGGAGGTGAGGAGGGCGGAGAGCTGCTGGTGAGGGAATAGAGGTTGGGGGAGAGGGGGATAAGAATGACAGTGACGTGTGCCCCCATTGCACATTGTGAGTGACATTAGCATCATTACTCACGTTTTGCTGTCGGGAGACGACCGTTCTGAAATAAAACAGAGGCCGGGATAGTCAATGAGGTGAGGTCACGGAGGGGGGGGGGATTGGAGATGGAGGGAGAAGAAGGGTGGTTTGGGAGAGAGGGGAGGGAGGGAGAGAGGGGAAGAGAAGGGCATGAGTGTGAGGAGCGTTGTCTCGGTTATCACTCTGTTTATCACTCTATTTGTTCCTTATTCACCCCGTTTCCCTTCTGTTTCCCGTCTGGTCCCATTCTGTTCCCTGCGATCCCGCCCACCAGGTGCTGAAGAAGAAACCGGACTTGAGGGAGAAGCCATGGCTGCAGATCTCGCTGCTTTCCGTGGGAAAGGGGCCGAGAGTGGTTGAGAGTGGCATTGGAGCATCCGTGTTTCTCGCTCTCCCCATCCCACCCACCAGGTGCTGAAGAAGAAACCGGATTTCAGGGAGAAGCCATGGTCGCAGATCTCAGCGAGCGCCAAGGACTTTGTCAAGAAGCTGCTCAAGAAGGACCCTCGCGCCCGCCCCACCGCTGCGCAAGCCCTGTGTGAGTCAGTGCGCTGCCTGCCTGCTAGCTGTGCTCTGTGCGAGTCAATGCACTGCAAATCTCAGCGAGCGCCAAGGACTTTGTCTAGAAGCTCGTCAAGAAGGACCCGCGCGCCCGACCCACTGCCGTACAAGCCCTGTGTGAGTCAACGCGCGCCCTGTGAGACTTGGATTGTGTGCACACAGTGATATCCAACATGCCCGCGGGCCGCTGGGCACAGCAGTGTGTCATTTCCCTGCATTTCTTCCTATGTTGCCTGTTCCCAGGTGACGTTTGAGTCGACTCAAAAGTCACCTCTGCATTCCCCTGCATTCCTTCCGATGTTGCCTGTTCCCACCTTTCTCCCTCCCCCTCACCTTCCCTCCATCCCATCCCCAGCACACCCGTGGGTGAAGGAGGGCGACAATGCATCGCCCATCCCGTTGGACATAGCAGTGTGCCATTCCCCAGCCTCTCTTCCTACCTACCTATCCTCCCGTCTCTCCTGATCGGTCCTCCCTTCCCTGCCGCTCCACCCCGCCACCAGCGCACCCGTGGGTGAAGGAGGGAGGCAGTGCCTCATCCATCCCTCTCAGCTTGCTCCCTGCCGTTTTCAACGTTCTTTCCTCTCCTCCCCTTTCCCCCCTCCCCTCCACCCCGCCACCAGCACACCCGTGGGTGAAGGAGGGCGGCAACGCGTCGTCTATTCCGCTGGACATAGCAGTGCTGTCCAACATGCGCGAGTTCGTCAAGTACTCGCGGCTCAAGCAGATGGCGCTCAAGGTGAGATCAGGAAGGTGGGTGGCTGCCGAGGTGCAGCAGCTGTGTGCCAGCTTTACTTTAATCTGGCTTAAGGTTGCTCTCTTGTCTCACTTCGTTCTTCTTATTTCCTTGAACCCTTTTTTTTGTTTTGTTCCTCATGCCAGGCGCTAGCGACCACTCTGGAGAGAACTTGACGGGAGGTGCACCTCTGCGCTCTCCAGCTGCTACACCCTCTGGAGATAGCGACCACTCTGGAGAGCGCAGAGGTGCAGCAGCTGCGGGACCAGTTCAACGCTGCTTTGATCCTAGTCTGTGGTTTTCCCTCTGCTCTTCCCATTCCCTCTCCCCTTCACCAGGCGCTAGCGACCACTCTGGAGAGTGCGGAGGTGCAGCAGCTGAGGGACCAGTTCAACATCGCGCTGCTCCTATCTGCTCTTTAGTTCACTGCCAAGCTCATGTTGCGTTATCCATCTGTCCCTTCTCCAGGCGCTAGCAACCACTCTGGAGAGCGCTGAGGTGCAGCAGCTGAGGGACCAGTTCAACATGTGCTTCTTTAGTCTGCCGTTGTTATCTCACCCTTTTCCCCATTCCTCTTCCCATTTTCCAGGCACTAGCGACCACTCTGGAGAGTGCAGAGGTGCAGCAGCTGAGGGACCAGTTCAATGCGATGGACATCAATGGGGACGGCACCATCACAATCGATGAGATCCGACACGTGAGTTCGTTCGTTGCGCGCATGTCAAGTTAAGAGATGGCATGTGAGCTTCCTGCTAGCATAGCATGTCAAGAGATGACATGTGAGCTCCCTTCTAGCACACCTTGCGAGCGCCTCGAAAAACGATATCGGGGATGGCACCGTCACCATCGATGAGATCCGACATGTGAGCTCGGTGTCACTACGAGCACACCACACCCTCCCTCACGCGCGCGCTGAAATCGGCTGAGTGCTATCGTAACTCAACGCATTTGCTTCTGAGTGCTGCCTCCTCACCATTCCCCTGATTTTTCCTCCTGTCATTCGCCTTCTCACCCCCCTCCCGGTGTGTTCCTGTTTCCCTTTCTCCATCCAGGCACTCAACAAGGACCTACCGTACGAAGTGAAGGAGACCAAAGTGGTGCAGATCTTGCAAGCTGTGAGTCCACATTGCCACCAGCCACACTTCACCCACCATGCTCTGCTTTCCACTTCCAGCAGCGAGATTGCTTTTTTTTCAGGTGCTCTTGGCACGTGCACCTCTCTCACACGCCCTAGTTGGCTTGGCTTGTGCCACGACTCAGAAACCACCAGCTGTGCTTCTCATGCATGCCCTTGTGCACTGCTCGCTCCTGTCCTGTGCTACCTTGCTTGGCATTGCTTGCCACCAGTGCTCAGTTCTTCTCCTTGTCTCGACTCGACTCTGTGATGGCATCATCTGCTGTGTAAACTCTCTGTTCCCACTCAATTGGACACTAACTGCGACGGCGTTATCAACTTCGACGAGTTCGTAGCAGCCACGCTGCACGTGCGGCAGCTGGAGGGGGCTGACTCTTGACACACCACTCTCATGCTCTGCAAATACTCCATGTCCACCTTCCCTCCTTCCAACTCTTGGTGCGCGCAGATGGACACTAACTGCGACGGCATTATTGACTTTGACGAGTTCGTAGCGGCCACGCTGCACGTGCAGCAGCTGGAGGAGGCTGACTCGGCCAAGTGGGAGGAGCGGTCTCGGGCGGCGTTCAACCACTTTGACACGGATGGAGATGGCTACATCGATGCAGAGGAGCTGAGAGTGGTGAGACGGTGTTCTCTGGGTTCCAGGGTGGTTGTGTGCGGTTCAGCTGGGTCTTAAAGAGCATTCTCTTGCTTGTGGGTGGCAACAATTTAGTCAACTCTTTCGTCTCCCTCCCTTCCCCCTCTGCGTGCCAACAGGCGGCGCAAGTGTAGGGGTCGTTGGGACGATTGGTAATCGAGGACGACGTGGACGGGGGACAAGAGAATCAGCTTGCCGACTCTCTCCCTCCCCCCCCACCGCCCCCCCCCCCCCCCCCACCCCTCCCTCCCTTGTCCCCTTTCCCCCCCCCTTCCCCCTCTGCTTGCAAACAGGCGGCGCAAGTGAAGGGGTCGCTGGGCCGATTGATAGACGAGGGGGATGTGGACGGGGATGGGCGAATCAGCTTGCCAGAGTTCCATTTTTCTTTCCGCTCACCCTACCCCCCCCCCTCCCTCCCCCCTTCCCTCCTCTCTTCCTTTACTTGCAAATAGGCGGCGCAAGTGAAGGAGTCGCTAGGCCGATTGATAGATGAGGCCAATGTGGACGGGGAGACAAGCGAATCAGCTTGCCCACTCTCCCCCCCCTCCCCCTCCCCCCCCTTGTCCTCTCCCCCCCTTTCCCGCTTTTCCCTCTGTGTGCTAACAGGCAGCGCAAGTGAAGGGGTCGCTGGGCCGATTGATAGATGAGGGGGACGTGGATGGGGACGGGCGAATCAGCTTGCCCGAGTTCCAGAAGCTTTTGCGCTGCGCCAGCATTAACTCCCGCACTAACACCACCTCGCGATCGCGCGGCCGCTCCGGCTTCGGGGCGATCGCCGAGTAGCTCTCTCTGTATGCTAACCCATCATCAACAACATTGTAGATTACCTCAAATATTGGTGATACAAACTCGGGCATTGAAGCAAGTGCCGCTAGCTCTGAGTTCTAACCCAATACCCTTCTTAGGTAGGCAGTGCTTTTATCCCCTTATTTTCCAGGGTACTGGCGGTTTCTGCTTAATGTAGGGGCTAAACAACCACTTTGTCGTGTTTGTTTGATATCAAATAAGTTTCCAGTTGCAACATCTAGCATACCTCTATAACTTCTGTGTCTGAGTCGCGTACACAAGACAAGGATTGGTTCAGTGCGATGACATTGGCAGCGGGGTCTACTGAATCTGTCTATAAAGCGAACAGCTCGGTCCTTCCACTCCTCTCCGTGAATTATGAAATGCTCAAATCCGCATCCATCAGTTCTCACTAGTTTTCACCCGCTATTCCACTCTTCCTCCTGGCGATGCGCTCCAGTCTGAGCTGAGTCCAGTTCGTGGTTTCCTCGGTCGCTGGCCTCGATATCTGCGTAAAATTAGTATTACATTCGTGTTATCGCGTAAAGTTTGGAAAGCTTGTGCATATCCTCGTTCTCATTGTTCGCGGGGATGGAGGAGGACTGGGAGGAGGAGGAGGAGGAGGAGGTTGACGCATCACAGGGAGACGCGTCGCAAGCGGAGGACGACAGGATGTACATTGGCAGTGTGCTCTTTAACATCAAGGGTCTGCAGCATTACCCGGGGACCGTGAACCCGCGAGAGGTTCGTTGTAGATTCGATAGTGGCCAGTTCATTCCAGTTATGCTTTCCCCTTTACATGTTTTTAAGCTTTCAACTCTCCTGCGACCCAACCTGCAGATGGTTCGGCTTATTCGGGAGCCTGATAACCCGCACGACCGCAATGCTATCCGCGTGGACAACATCAGAGGGCAGCAGGTAGGCCACGTGGAGGCCAAAATGGCGTGCCACCTGGCGCCACTTGTCGACGCGGGATTGGTCGCAATCGAAGGTCTGGTGACACGTGGAACGAGGAACATTTACCAAATGCCGTGCCACATGTGCTTGTTCTGTTCCCCTGAATCTGCTCCTGAGGTCGCATCTCGCTTGCAGTCTGCTAGAATACGACTGGTAGAAACCAACAGCCTCCCTGGTTCAGACAATTTCGGGGAAGCTTCCCCCTCTGGTTCGTTACAGTCCTCCTCGTTACAGGCTGCTTCGGCTGCTGCGTCAGTGGCTGCTGCATTGGCAGCGCGTAGAGCCGCGATGAGCCAAGCAGAACAGGACAAGGCAGTCCTATCCATGTTCGATGACCTGGCATGCCAGGTGGAAGCAGATCGGCCCACCGCGGACCCTCCCTGCCACGTCATCAGGTCGTCCCTCCTGCCACATCAGCAGCGGGCGCTGGCGTGGATGATCAAGAGGGAAAGCGCGAGGAAGCTTCCGCCGTTCTGGAAAGCGGGGGCCTTAGACTCAGGCAGCAGCAGCAAAGGGAAGAGAGGAGGGAGAGGAGGAGGAGGGAGGGGTGAAGGAGGGAGGGGGAGAGGGAGACAGGGCAGGGGAGAGCGGGGAAGAGGGAGAGGAGCACAGGGAGACGGTGGAGGGGGAGCGGGAGGGGTGGAGGGCGATGAGGAGGATGGAGATGATGGGGGGGAGGGCGGGGGGCGAGTGTTCACCAACATCTTAACCAACTTCACGACAGAGGAGAGACCCAAGGCGCTGAGGGGAGGCATTTTGGCCGACGACATGGGTCTGGGGAAAACACTCTCCCTGCTCTCCCTTGTCGCCTCCACCACTGCTGCTGCTGCCACTGGTGAAACGCAAACACTTGGCAGTGGCACCACCTCCCCTGCTGTTGGTGCTGCTGGTGCTGGTAGTGGGGTGCAAGGGAAGCAGCACCAAGCAGAGCAGAGCAGGGCGACGCTAGTGGTGTGCCCTCTGTCCGTTCTCTCCAACTGGACGGCGCAGCTAGCAGAGCATGTGGCACCAGGCGCGCTGAGCTACTATGTGTACCACGGGGCAGACCGCGTGAGGGACCCGAGCTTCCTCTCTGGCTTTGACCTCGTGTTTACCACTTACAACATCCTTTCTTCTGAGTGCCCCCCTCCCGCTGCCTCCGCTGCTGGTGGTGCTGGTGGTGCTGCTGCTGCGGGTGGTTCTTCTGCTGGTGTTGGTAGGGGTGGATCAGGGGGGATGGGAGAGGCACCACGGGCTGACAGTCCGCCGCCCTCCCCACCGTCCATTCCGGGGTGTCCTGGCATGCTCATGCCGGCTTATGCCGGCATGCCAGGGGGACGGGGACGAAAGAGGAAAGCGCCAGGGGCAGCAGGGCAGGGGCAGAGAAAGCGAGGGGGGATGGCATGGACGGCGGGAGGAGCAGGGAGCAGCAGCAGGAGCATTACAGGAGCTGCAACAGCAGGAGGAGCAGGAGGAAGAGTAGAGACGGCAGGTGGAGGGCCACTTCTGCAGGTGAAATGGAGGCGGGTGATTCTGGACGAAGCGCACGTGATCAAATCCGTGAAGTCACGGGCAGCGCGGGCGTCGACAGCGCTACAGGCGGAGAGGCGGTGGGCAGTGACAGGGACTCCAGTGCAGAACCAGCTGGGGGATCTCTTCTCGCTGCTCTGCTTCCTGCGCCTTGATCCTCTTAATGACCGTTCAATTTGGACCCGCGCGATCGAGCGGCCAATGAGGGAGCGCCAGCACATCGGGCTGGACAGATTGAGGGTATGCTCGAGTGGAGGCATGGGGGTGTTCGTGTGCGGTGAGTGGTTGGTCGGGCGTGTGTGTGTGTGTGTGTGTCTGGTGAGATACGTGTGTGCGCCCGCGCATCCAGCTTCCAGAAGCCACCTTTTTTCTCCCACCCTTTTTGCCTCGCCCCAACAGGCACTGGTGCTCACGACGGCTCTACGGCGCACCAAGGACATGCAGGTGAATGGTCGGCCGCTGCTGTCCCTCCCTCCCAAGACCGTGCGAGTGCTGCCAGTCGACCTGCTGCCAGAGGATCGGGATCTCTACGACCAGTAAGAATATTTTTTTATTATTATTATTATTATTTTAGGCCCGATGCTGTGTAGGTCGCTTGTATCTGTGCCCCTGGCAGTGACTGTGCACCCATTTTGTTCTTGGAGCTTTCGTGAGTGCCGCCAGTCGACTTGCTGCCAGAGAATTGAGATTGCTATGACCGGTGAGAATGGCCCTTTGGTGTGACTGTTCATTTGTGATTGCACATGAGTCACTTGTAAATGTTTTACTTGCACATATGTATCACCGGTCACTCACCCATTGCTTTGTACTGTCAACACCATACTTTCAATATTCTTGCTGCCTCACCCCTCCACTACACCCACCCTTATCGGTCTCTACCAGAGTGCAGGAGGAGGTGCGGCGCCTTGTGGGTGGCATGATGGCTCAGGGCACGTTGATGAAGAACTATGCTACAGTGCTGGAGATGATCCTACGGCTCAGACAGATCGCGGACCACAAGGGCCTCTGTCCACCGCACGTTCTCGAGGCCATTGCTGCATCTGCTGCTGCTGCAGAAGAGGCAGACAGAAACCAGGGAGGAAAAGGTGTGCAAACGTATGAACCATTATGGGTAGTTTTGAAATGGGGTTGTGGATGTTGACAGTGGTGTGTGATGCTCGTTTCTGGGCCATTGCTTACTCGAATCTTTGTTTTCCTTCTTCCCAACTTTCTGCATTTCTCCAGCTGCAGTTCCTTTGGACCCCCTTCTGAGTCAGAAGCTTCAGGAACTTCTGGCAGCAGGAGCAGCAGACGAAGACTGTCCCATCTGCCTCTCGCCTCCTGTTCTTCCCGTCATCACTCCCTGCTCCCACATCTTCTGCCGCCGCTGCATTCGCCGGGTTCTCTCCATCCAGAAGCATGCCTGTCCCATGTGCAGAGCACCAGTAGATGAGGCTCATCTAGTGGAAGCTCCACCTGATGCTGCAGAAGGAGAGGGAAGTGGCGTTAATGGGGATCATGCCAAGGGGAGCTTGAGGGAAGGGGTTGAGGGGAATACAAGTGCCAAGATTGATGCGCTTATTGCTGCTCTTTGTGAGCCTCTCCAGGTGCCGCCAGGGTACCAACCTCCAGAGGGTGGAGGTTCTAGTGCAGGGCCTGGTGCAATGGAAGAGCGAGGTGAGAGGCAGTATCAGCAGCAGAGGGTGAAGAGTGTTGTGTTTTCTCAGTTCACTCGGATGCTGGATTTGGTGTATGAGAGGTTGCAGGCTGCTGGATTCAAGTGCTGTAGATTGGATGGACGCACCAAGCTAAGTGTGAGGGAAAAAGCTATTCAAGAGTTCAACCGAGTGGATGACGATTCTCCTACAGTCTTCCTTGTGGGGCTCAGAGCAGCAGGTGAGAGCGCACTTTCACCTAGCAAAAAGTTTTCTAGATGTCAGCAGTCCTCTTGGTCCTAGCTTCTACCTTTGTTCATGTTGGTGCTTGGCAGGTGTCGGTTTGAACCTAACAGCTGCCTCTCGTGTGTTTTTACTTGAACCTTGGTGGAATCCTGCTGTGGAGCAACAAGCGATGGACCGAGTCCATCGCATTGGACAGGTACGCGAATTTGTAGTGCTCAGATTATGGAATGCTGACACGTATACAGTAAACATTGAATTCTGTGCTACTGTGCTGCTTTCATGTGCAGGAAAATCCGGTGGATGTCGTGAGAATGGTTGCTGTTGACAGCATAGAAGAACGAATGCTGGTGCTTCAGGAGAGAAAAAGGGCAATTGCACGTGCTGCCTTTGAACGTAGGTCTGCTGAAGATCAACAATTACTTCGGATGGATGATGTGCGTCTGTTGATGGACATGTAAGTGTCATGCACTCTAGAATAAAAATGGTAGGAGACATTCCGCTCCCAGAACTCAGCCTGGATAAGAAGATGATGCACTCATTCTTCAAGATGTCTTTCCGCAATAGCTGGCTGCAGACGGTCGAAGACATCCTGTGCCGACCGGAGTCTTGTTCCAATCTCATCATTCATGGACTCCAATTCCTTGATTTCTTCGAGCTGGCGTTGCCAAATTGCAACTTGATTTTCATGGATCCTGCGAAGCACAATGGTGAATCCAATAATACAGATCTGTGGCCAAACAGTGTCCGGATCCTTGACTTACTGAACGAGCTGCTCCTCCCATGCTGCGTGAGCGGCGGAAAGAGCTTGTTTCCCAGCATCAAGGATTGCGCAAAGCTGACAAATGAAAGATACGCGTCAGCTTGAGCTTTTCAATGTCGAAGCAACTCTAAGAGTTAAATCAACCTTTTGAGTGAATTCTTCTATTCTTTTGTGAGCTTCCGCAACTGCAGGACTAGGCTCTCGATCTCGTGCTTCAGACGAATCTGGCTGTCCATCAGTATCATCCTGCGTGTCCGTCTTTTGAGAAGAATCTTCTCTTTGCCTCTTCAGCATTGGTTCCACATCAATGTCGCGCTGCATGAATGGGATGAACGAGTTAGACTACAGAAACCATACGTAATAAATGTACTTCGCCTACACACCTCGTGGCTGTCAGTGGTATCCATAGCAACTTAGACGATGTTGAAGGTAATAAGGTTGAAGAGGAGTCGCAACGCAGAGATTGAAGGTAGAACAAGCAGGTATGCGGAATTGCTGGGACTGGAAGGTTGAGATTGAAGGTCAACAGCCACGCCAACCCCGGGGGTCCCGTATTGGCGACACGCCTGAATCGATACAGGGTGTGCGTGTTTCCAAACTGTATATTGACTAACCACATATAATGTAAACTGTTTTTGTACATCTACAGCACCGATTGAATCGCACCCATTCCCGTGAAATCATCATGCTTGATACTCGCTATGATCACACCAAACGTGTAACACGACACGACCCACGACATGAACCGCTCACGTTCGATCGCGTGCAGCGAACGGCTCAAAACCGTCGTCATCTTCATCCAACCGCTCGCTGTTTCCCGAACAGGGAACAAGTCCCCCTTCCCCTCACCTTCATCTTTCCCGATCTTTCCCGCTTGTGCCGTTCCCTCACCTTCACCTCTCACCTCCGGGGTTGCCTTCTAGTTTCGCACTTCTGCCGCCTTGAGTGTCAAGGTCGAGAAGGAGCGTTGTCGAAGAGGTCCCAACTCCGTTTTCCACTTTTTGAGTTCTCCCTTCTCAAGCCCTGCTCGTCGCAACGAGCCATGAGCGCCAAGGCACTTGAACCCATGGATAAGAGGATTGCGGGGATTGAGGATAACCTAAATAGAATGCACATCCGCCCTTCTCCGGTCCACCCGTCCTCAATGGCCCCTTCGCCACTCCATCCTTCAGCAGGACACCCGTCGCATGTCCACCGAGCCACCGCGTCGCCGCAGCACCACATCTTCGCCAACAGCCCCTCGCCTCAGCACCATCTCCTCGCCAACAGCCCTTCGCCACAGCACCATCTCTTCGCCAACAGCCCTTCGCCACAGCATCATCTGTTCGGGAACAGCCCTCTGAGCAACCTTCCCACACTCGACCAGCTGAGCGAGAGGCACCGGTACGGCCACAAGCATCGGCGGAAACAGGACGTTTCAGGAAAGGACAGAGTCGCGCGACGAATCTCCGAGGATGCTTCCAGCGTGTCGTCGGAAGGTTACCATACTGACCCTGCCGTCCGCGCGGAACCTTCCTGGACGGTGCGGTCAGTGGAATCAGCGGCATCCGTTCCTCCTGTTCTCCAGACGGTTAAAAGCCCCGCGCATCCTGCTTCGTATCACCCGCAGCGGAACCACCGTGGCGGCGTTGCTGACGCATCTGCCGCTCATTCCGCGCGTGGAGCGCCAGGTGCCGCGGGTTCCGCGCTCACCCAATACCCCCCGCAGTTCCCCCAGGCGCTGCGAAACTGCTACTCTGCTCCGCAACCAGGCGAGTCGGAAACGTGCGTGCTTTCACGGCAGCTCGCCGGCGCGCGGGAGATTAAAATCATGGCTCGCGACGCCGCGGTGTGCGGCTCCATGGTTGAAATGGGAGCCGCGAAAGTGCTGTTGTCGCTTGTAGACAGCGTGATAGAAGCGGAGGAAGGAAGGGAGTTCATGGATTTGCGGTATCAGGTTGCTGAGGAGGCAGCTGCTGCGCTGCTGAATCTGTCTTTAGATAAGACCGCCAAGCACATGATGAGGAGCCATGGCATCATACCCACCATTGTGAGGTTGGCTGACATCACACGCAGCAGTCCGGACTGCCCTGACGGTGCCAGTGTTAATGCTCGTGAATCACCCGACAATGCCCAACAGCATGACATCAGCAGATGTTCTGACAGTAGCGCCGGGACCCCCGCCTCCACCCGCACCAGCTCTGCGCATTTGTCTCTTAGAGAGCTGGCAGTGGCGATAATCCACAGTCTTGCACAGTCAACAATGCTGAAAGAGGATCTAGTTGATCAGTGGGTGGTGCAGCCGCTGGTAGGCCTGTTGAGGGAGCCAGCATTCAGCGAGGAGGGACAGAAGGACGCCTTGTACGCGCTCTACCTCTTATCGTCGTGCGAGTCTGGGAGGTTGGCTCTTGCTTATCACGGCGCTGTGCCTTTGCTGCTGGAGGTGGCACTGTGCGGTACGCAACGAAGTGGCCATCTGTATGCGAAGCAGTCAGGGAGATTCTTTGACAAGGCCATGCGTGCACTGGCGAATGCATCTGAGGAGAGATCGGGGCTTTCGGCTTTACTACGCAGCAAAGTCAAGTACTGGTCTTGTGAAAATGGAGCTGGCTTTGATGGTGGCTCTCAAAGTGGACATGGAAGCTGCATCGAAGTTTCGGGGCTTCAAGGGCTTTTCAAGCTGCTTGCGAATGGGAGTGAGGTGACAAAGCAGCATGTTGTCTCAATTTTGCACCGGATTCTCAGTAATGCTGGGGAAGGCGGTGCACAAGTTTTGGATGAGATCTGGTCGTTGCAGCGTAAGGAGAAGCCGAGGCCACATTTGGAGGCTTTAGCAAATGCAGGATTGCTCAAAGCCCAGCAGCTCTTGATGGTATTCCCTCCTACAAAGGTGGCTAAAGAAGCAGCAAAATGTTGAGCTCTCTGGTGTGAACTGCTTTTTTATATTAGCCTGGAAACTGGCTTTGGATGTTTTATTCATCAGTGCGGATTGTATATATGCTGTTGAAATGGCTTGACAATCTTCCTCAACGGGATTATACGGAGTCCGCTTTTACGTCATCACGCCTGGCTGATCGCTGTCGCACCTTCCCAGTCGGTGCAGGGTGCAGTCATCTCCCCCAATCCAGCACGGCGTTTCCCCGTGCGTCACGCGCGGGATGAGGAAGCCTCTGGGATTGGAGAGTTTGGGCCAATGAACTGCGGCCTTTCCCGCTCGCCTCCGCTTCAATTGATGCCTTTCGCTGGGTGTACAGTTCCTTTCTTCCCTCAACTCAAATCAGCGGAGCCGCTGTATCGTGCCCACGTTGACGCCAGTGGCTTACAGCCATCAGGTATTATTATTTGTCGTGGATCTCCTTTTGAACGGTCTGGATTTATCTGTATCCAGCTTGATTCTTCCAGCTAGGACCAATCAAATGCTGCAACCACGGCATCAATGCCAAGTGGGCAGATCGGATCGGAGGCATTGGGTTGGGATGGTAACATTTCACCCATCTCCGCATCGAAACGATTAGCCATGTATCTAAACCACTCTATACCACATTTTACGCCTTCGCGACACACCTGCTCCTCCTGCTGGGCACAAGGCTTGGAGTGCGCAAGAATCTGTCGTCCTGTCTCCATAGGCCAAGGTCCTATGTAGTCCCAAACTCTGCTCGAGAGTCTCTTGTTCTTTCACCTAGATTAGAGACTAGTAGTGTCTGGTGTTCACACGCAGAAATTTCGTACTTTGGTTGCGCGTCGCATGAAGAGCGTGCTTAGTATTGCGTAGCCGCTGACGTTTGGTCATTCCTAGCAATCATGAACGATTTACCTGTTCATCCGCGAGTGCAGGTACCTGGTTTTCAGAAAAAAACTCTCAGGGCAAACCGAGTCAAAGCTGCACTAGAAAGCATCAGGACTGTAGACTCTACTAGCAGCAACAACGTTTGCAGCGATGGTTCCAGCTCCGGAGATGTATTTTCCACCGCGCATCGAACCAGGCTAAGAGACAACGAGTACGGCTTGCCGGCTCTTCCAGACACCCATAGCCGTCACTTCCATGCTCAAGACAATCGCGGAAATTTTTCTGCTCTAACAAATAGCTACGAGGGTTCTGTCACCATCGGGTCAATCGTACCAGCCGCCGATCCTTCTCCTTTTCATCGTCCTCATCCCCCTCCTCCCATGCCTCCTGAGGTTCCAGGCGGTCACGCTTTCGGTTATTCCGCTGGTCACACCTCTGGTCATCCAGCAAGCCGCGGAAGCCCGCACGAGCGTTTGCAAGGGCCTCTGCAGCGCGAGTCAGCGGCGCAGTTAAGCACGGAAAGAAGCGGTTTTTCGCCAAACGGGCTTTCTCCCTTAGTATCACGCGACTTGGACGGTCCCTCCGCTTCTCGCTCCACCCTTGCTCCCACGTGTTCCGATGCATCTTGCCGAAGCATTAGCTCCCGCACAGACACTGATGGCTCGGAATCGTTGAATTCGCCAGCTTCCTCTAGCCGATACCCCGCGCTTGCGCGACCAGTGCTATCAATCGACGCGGTAGCGGAGGTACGGGCAAAGGAGCCCGTGCAAAGCCATCGCGTAGGGAGGCAGCGGATGGGGCAGCTGCTGCGAAATGCTGTGACCAATCTGGTTACGCCGTGTGCGGTTCAGAATCATAATCGTGCTCCACCTGCTTCTGCGACCGCCGCTGCTGCTTGTGCCGCGGTTGCAGCTGTACACCCACTCCCTGTCACAGATTCGCACCCGCCGCCTATACCCTCGTCATCCGTTCCTTCTTCACCGGACCCTTCCTCACCCACATCTTCGTCATCGCTCCCCTCCCCCGTCGCTCCCCGCTTATCCACTTCCTCAGCATCCTCCGCGTATTGCTCTTCCTTCCCCTCCCGTTCCCCCTTCGCTCCGCCCACCCCCTCTCCGCCGTTCAGCCTTTGCCCCTCTCCCGCCGTCGCCATACCATCCCTCTCCGAGCTGCATCCCTCGGCTAGAATCTCATCGGGCCTCCGTTCTTCTCGCCTTCATTCTACCTCCTCTCTTTCTGCGAATCCCGATGGAGCTGTCGCTAATGTGCCTGCGCCATCACCGTCCCTTCCGCCGGGTTTTCAGCTGGCTTTGCTGGACTGCTGTGCTTGTAGGGACCCGAACGAGACCAGTGCAGCAGTGCTAGAGAGGCAGATGGGAGGTGCGCGGCAGATCAGGCAGATGGCACGGGATCTAGAGGGGTGCAGAGCGGTGATGGTGGAGAAAGGAGCGGTGGGAGCGCTGTTGCCTCTGCTAGATTGGGCTGAAGGCGGACCAGGGGTACAGCCGTGGGTAGGCGAGGATGGGGGGAAGGAGATACTGGAGGATAAGAGTTCACTGAAGCATTTGAGGCTGAAAGTAGTGGAGGAGGCAGTGACAGCGCTGCTAAATCTTTCCATTCACCCTTCAGCAAGGGAGCTTATGCTAAGCCTTGGGGTTGTCAATTCGGTCACCCAAATGCTTGGGAATAGGCAAGGCGGATTTCCACGAAGCAGCAGCGGGAGCAGTGGTGAAATTCTGAGTAACAGCAGGGGTAGCTTGAGTGATGGTGTCTCTGTTGTGCCTGTCCATATTAGAGAGGTTGCAGCAGCGCTTGTTTTCAGCCTCTCTCAATCGGTTGAGAGTAGAGGTGAGCTAGTGAGGTGTGGTGCAGCCGAGGCTCTGGTTCAGTTGCTACAGGACCCAACGTGCAGCAGTCAGGGAAGGAGGGACGCTTGCAAAGCATTGTCAAACTTCTCAACCATTTCGGTTGGAAGACTCAGCATGGTTCGAGCTGGGGCGGTGCCTTTGCTGCTGGAGCTGACCTTGATGGGCCATGCTGGTGATGAGTACGTATCTGAGAAGGCCTTGGGGGTGCTTGCGAATGTAGCAAGAGAGGAGGCAGGAAGGGAAGCCATAGTTGATTCACAAGTTAGAGATGGGGCGTGGGATTGGGATTCTGGGAATATCGAGGTTCATCACCAATCCTCCGAAAGCTTAAGAATGGCTTCAGGGTTGAGTATTCTTTTGGAGTCACTGGATAGTGGCACGGAGCGAAGTCATGAGTTTGCAGTTTCGGCTTTGCTCTATGTTGCGAGGAGCCGCCAGAACTGGAAGGAGCTGTTGCTGTCGGAGGGGCCTCTTCCATCCATCAAGGCTGTGGCCATGCGAGGCAGCCCTCGAGCGAGAGACAAGGTAGGTGTTAATATCTCGCTGTTTCCACGCTTGAATGCAGCTGGATGCACCTGGGGAGGGATCATGGTAGTCTTGTCATTTGGTGCCTCTGTGTATTGCATCCCTCTCAAGAAATTTACCCGCTTTGATTCCTTTTTCCCATCATTGCAGGCACAGAAGCTCTATGACCTTCTGAGGGGTTGATGCTTACAGTGACCATGTGTGCTGTGGTGCAAGAATCTGTTTTGTATGTACAGTGCGGTGTTTTATATGATCGGACTTGCCACTGCGTGCGTGTCGTGTTTCCTGTGTTGATCCAATTGCAATTAATATCATGCGTTAAAACCGAAATGCAAAATAGTGAACCCGGGGCCAGCTTGAAAGAGGGCTTGCCGTGCGAAACAATTTTCGAACCAAACCGACAAGTTTCCAGTATTTCAGTTAGAGCGTTTTTATCAGATCCAACACATCTGATTGGTTCCCGCCAAAACCCGAAAGAAGGAACACAGCACGTCAGTCGTCGCATATCAGTTTGGTAACCTGCCACTGCGATCGCTCATGCACGTCCTTGCGATTTTGGGCCCAGCTTGGGGTTCAAGTTGGGCCTGGGTGAACAACTACTAGTTCTTCTGAACATACATCTCTGCTTCTTAGTTATTTGTAGCATGTCTAGCCATAGAACTGTCAACTTAGGTCGTTGTTGTTTCAATTTAGACGCGTAGTGAAGCTGGCATGGTTGTGTAGTACTTAGTGCCGTTTCGAATGCACTCTCGCGCCTTCCCATCTCATCTCGCTCGCCCTCCCATTCCGATCGTCCACGCTCCGTCCGTCCTGACGCCGTCCCGTCGACCGCCGCGTCGCGATCCTGTCGTCCGTCCCGTCGCTGTCCCGTCGCCCTCCTGTCGTCATCTCCATTACCCCTCTCCTCCAATCACCCTCGCGTTTTTCCTGTCGCTCCAATCGCCTTCTCCTCTCCCTTCTCGTCCCTCTCTCTCTCTCTCGTCGCTCCCTTTCCATTGCAATCGCCTTCTCCCAACCCTACCCGTCGCTCGCTCTTCCTCCCCATCCCCTCCAGTTGCTCTCGGTCTCTTCCATCCCTTCCCGTCGCTCTCGCTCTTCCCCCTCGCTTCCCGTTGCTCTTGCTCTCTCTGTCGAGAGAATCAGGCAAGGTTGAGTTCACTATGGAGAGTTTGGTACAAATAACAAAACCCTAAAGTGTTGTCTCCTACAACATCTACCCCACTACAGCCTACCAATATATATCACACATATATATCATTTGACACACCCCCATAGGCAAAGTGGGGGAGAGCAACGGGTCACAAGACCAGTCAAGAGAAGCAAAACAAGCTCAGGGTGGATCACAACGTCACCACACATTCTGAGCACAAGCAAATGGCCACAAGGCCAGTTCACATGCAGAGATATATATGCAGCAATGACAGTACAGTGATGGCTACCTAGCAAGAGCCAGCATGCAGGTATATATGTATATAGATCACAGTACAAGCAAAGACTACAGCAAGTGTGGAAGCGTAGGCACAAGGCCCAACAGAGTACAAAAGCGCTGATGATCACCAGACGGAAGTGCCTTGGTGAATATATCAGCAGTGTTGGCCCGAGTGGCCACGTAACGAAGACAAAGCTGGCCTCGCTGCTGCAACTCTCGAGCCAGGAAGTAACGCAGAGCAATGTGCTTCGTTCTGTGCTCCAGTCTGTGCTCCTCACACAAGGCAATGGCGGCCTTGTTGTCAACGTACAGCACTGGAGGAGAACGAGGCTGCTCTCCCAAGTCAGTCAGCAGGTAGGTGAGCCAGCGTAACTCCAGTGCAGCCATGGCGGTGGCGTAGATCTCAGCCTCACAACTGGAGCCGAGAACTGAAGACGAGCGTGTAGAACGCCACGAAACTGAACCAGAGCCAAGGCTGAAGGTGTAACCCTGTGACGACCGCTGAGTAGCCAGGTCGTCAACCCAAGAAGCGTCTGAGTGCCCAGTGAGGACACCTGGGCTTGTCCCTCCAAGCACTAGCCCCATGCCTGATGTGCTGCACAAGTAGCGCAGTACCCTCTTAGCAGCAGCCATGTGCTCAGGTCGGTGTCGACCAGGAGCCACGTAGCGAGCGAGGAGACCAAGAGGGTACGCGAGGTCAGGTCGAGTGCAAGTCATCAGGTACATGAGGCAGCCGACTAGCTCTGGGTAAGGACCACTCGGCTCTACGGACTCGTCCGAAGGTGGAGCTGAGAGCGTGTGACCTGTAGCCAGAGGAGTGGCCTGTGCTGAAGACCAGGTGAAGCCGAAGCGCTGAAGGACCTGCTGCACCATGTGTGACTGAGTCAAGGTGATGGTGCGCCGTGCTCTGTCCCGGGTGATCTGCAAGCCAAGGTAGCTGTGCAGCTCACCCAAGTCAGTGCACGTGTGTCTCTTCTGCAGCTCCGACTTCACGTGGGCGAGAGCCTCAGTGTCAGCAGTGGCAAAAACCAAGTCGTCGACGTACACGAGGATGTAGAACGGCGGCAGTGAAGTGTCGGTGCGCAGAAACAGCGACGGGTCAGCAGTAGAAGGCGCAAACCCAAGAGCCGCAAGCGTAGTCCTCAGTGTGTCGTGCCACTCACATGGCGCCTGGCGGAGACCGTAGACCGGCCGTTGGAGGCTCCACTGGGTGCCAGGAGGGAACGACCCAGTGAAGCCCGGGGGGCGGCGCAGCCAGATCTCCTCGTGCAGACTGCCCTGTAAGAAAGCAGTGCTGAAGTCAAGAGAGTGAAGCTCGTAGTCACGGTGAGCAGCAACGTGCAGCAGCACACGAAGAGTTATCATCTTCGGGGTGGGGGAGAAGGTCTGGAAGAAGTCAACTCCCTCTCGCTGACTGAAGCCTCGAGCCACGTAACGCGCCTTGAAGACAGGTGGAGAACCCGGCGGCCGCTTCACCCTGAAAATCCACATGCCACTGACGATGTTCGCCCCAGGTGGGGGAACCTCGTCGACATAGGTGCCTGTGGACTTCCAGGAAGCCATCTCTGTGTCCATGGCTGCCTGCCACTGAGAGGAGTAGGGACTCTCTATCGCCTCTGCGTAAGAGCGCGGAGTCGGGATGTCTGGTGCATCCGGGTCTCCCTCAGGGGCAAGTAGCGAGGACACAAGATGAGGTAAAGCAGCAGCAAGACACTGGAACTCCTCTTGCCTGTCCTCAAGGACGTCCGTGCTAAGAGCACACTCACCCCCGACGGACGGAGGACAGACAGACTCAGACTCAGCAACAAGACTGGCGGCGTAGTCTAGACGACAGGCAGCAGCAAAGTCAACAAGCTCAGCGACAAGAGCAGACGCAGCAGTAGACTCAAACGACGGGTCAGTGACAACAGTGGCTAGCAGACGCGTGACAGTAGGGTGCTCAGCACGAAACCGGTCAGACTCAGGGTCCGGAACGTAAGGTAGAGAGGACGCAGGAGGAGACGACAGAGGAACAGGCTGCAGAGCAGAGGAAGGACGACGAACTACGAGGTGTGCGCTGGGGACAGCCTGCTGACGCGAACGAGGAACACGACGACCGGTACGACCAGGACGAGCAGGCGAGACAGGACGCGACACAGGCTCACGACGCTCAGCAGGACTACCAGTCTGCTCAGTGTAAGGAGAAGGAGCAGGCAGCGGTGAGCCAGGCTGTAACGGAAGACCAGTAGACGACGGGAGAGTAAGAACCTGACGAAGAACAGAGTCAGACGGCGGCAGAGACGACGGAGACGGCGGAGCGAAGAACAGTCGTGTCGGCGCAGCTGCATCAGTACCGGCAGCTCCAGCAGCTCCAGTGCCTCCAGCAGCTCCAGTACCTCCAGTAGCTCCAGAAGCTCCAGTCCCAGGGTCTCCAGCCTCTGTGTCTCCAGCAGTAGCACCCCCAGAACCAGCACCCCCAGTCCCAGGGTCTCCAGCCTCAGTGTCGCCAGCAGCAGCACCCCCAGAGTCAGCACCTCCAGTCCCAGGGTCTCCAGCCTCAGTGTCTCCAGTACGAGCACCTCCAGAACCAGCGACTCCAGCACCTCCAGTAGACAAAGGTCCAGCACCACTCCTAGCTCCAGCAGCGCGACGCTGACGGTGACCGTACCAGTCCTGCAGCTGCTGTGGGGTGAGAGGCACACGTGGACGAAGGTGGCTACTCCAAGGAGACCGCGCAACAGCAGACTCAGAACCCTCAGCGCCAGCACCCCCAGCTGCTCCAGAACCTCCAGCGCCAGCACCTCCAGGCTCCTCACGCGTAGGCTCAGTACCCGCAGACTCGGCACCCGCAAGCTCAGCACCTCCAGGCTCCTCACGCGCAGGCACAGCACCCTCAGACTCGACACCCCCAAGCTCAGCACCGCCAGGCTCCTCACGCGCAGGCACGGCACCCCCAGACTCCGCACCCCCAGGCTCAGCACCTCTAGGCGCCTCTCGCTCAGGCTCCGCACCCCCAGGCTCAGCACCCCCAGAGACAGCACCCCGAGCAGGACCACCTCCAGCAGGACCTGAGTCACCAGTGACCTCAACAGGCGCAGGTACCGGAGGGTCTACCTGAGAAACACCTGAAGGAGCAGGACCTGGCGCGGGGAGGGGGTCTACCTGGGGAGGACCTGGAGCGAGAAAGAGCGGCGGGGGGGGGGCGAGAGGCAGTGCGGTAGGGAAAGAGACGGTAGAAGGGAACAGACTCGTCAAAGGTGACGTCCTGAGACGCAAAGACACGGCGCGAGGTGGGGTCGTAAAACTGCCAGCCAGGCGTGTCAGGGGGAAAACCAAGGAAGACGCAGGGAATGGCGCGAGCAGAGAGCTTGTCCGCGGTGAGATCGCGGACAAAGGCACGAGCACCCCAGACCCGGAAACGCGACGCATCGCCAACCTCCCCCGTCCACAGCAGTGTGGGCGAGGTCTCCGGCAAGGAGACACGGGGCCAGAGGTTGAGCTGATGCGCGGCGTACCGGACCGCGAACGGCCACAGAAAATGGGGAGCCGCCGCATGGATCATGGAGGTACGAGCGACCTCCATGACTAAGCCAATGCGGCGCTCAGCAACCCCATTCTGCTGCGGAGAGGCCGGAAGCGTGAACGACTGGGTGATGCCGTGCTCCGCACAGAAGGCTGCCAAGAGGTCAGAGGAGAACTCACCACCTCGGTCAGAGTGCAGACGCAGGACAGGAAAGTTTCGCTCGAACCGCTCGCGGAGCTGGAGACGCACAGC